TCTCTTCTGCCCTCCAGTGGTAAGAATGGCTCACTTCTCCCTGAGGAGCAGGCGCCAGGCAAGAGGCTGGGCTCTAGCTGAGGTTGGAGGAAGAAACAGGCCAACGACTGGAAGAGAGGATGGGCACAGACAGAGCAGAAATCAAGGGGTTTGGGGAAGTGACCAAGAAAGGCGGCAGAAATCAAGGGGTTTGGGAAAGGCGATTCCATATCATTATTTTTCCCTCAGAGTCCGAGAGCCATCCTTCCCCATGCCCTGCCCAGCCCAGGGACGTGTAAAGAGCAGAAGGAATGGAAGAAAAATGTAACTGATTCCTCCCTCTGCCATCTTTTCCTCTTGACTACTCTACTTTTGTAAGTGGAAATTCTTAATGAAACTTGAAATTTTTCTTTCAGGGAAGTCTCCAAATATCAGGAAATTAAATTATTAATGTTTCAGCCCTACAGGCTAAAAATAAAAAACCAAAACAGAAGCTTTAAGGAATGAAGGCACATATGGCAAACTGGCCATTTCGTAGGGTAGTAAAGTTTGCACTAAATAAGCTCCAGTGTGGCGCCGAAAGGATAGCCTCTCATTTGCCTGTATGAGCTTGGGCAGCTCTTGGAAACTTTGTCCTCTTTAGAGAAGAGAAATGAGCACTCAATATCCAGATCTTGGCTAAAACACCCTCCAATAATAGGAACCATGGGTCTTTAGAAAAATAGTTGATTGTAGGCTTAAGACAGAAAAAAATACAAGATGAGCCTGGAATGCCTTGTAATGCCAGAAAGGAAGGCAATTCCCCAATATGGAGCATGTCAAAGGCACACAGAGGCCAACCTGAAAAAGCTCCCTATGAACAAAGCTGGAACAATTTCAGCAGCAAAATAACAATAAATATTGGATTATAACCCAAAATAAAAAATATTAAGTTCAGGGACTTCCCTGGTGGTCCAGTGGCTAAAACTCCATGCTGCCAATGCAGGGGGCCAGGGTTTGATACCTGGCCAGGAAACTAGATCCCACATGCCACAGCTAAGAGTTTGCATGCCACAACTAAGACCTCGTACAGCCAAACAAATAAAATTTTTAAAAAAATATTCAAGTTCATATTGAAATACATAAATGACTGGAAAACATTTTAAAGGGAGAAAGTAAGGACACACTTTCCTTACAGAAGGATATCAAGTAATATATGAAGAGAATCCCCAGTCCAGGAGGTGGAGTTTAATTTCCCTCCCCTTGAGTGTGGGCTGGACTTGGTGACTCATTTCCAAAGAATAGAATGTGCTGTGTGCTCAGTCGCTCAGTTGTGTCAGGTTCTTTGTGACCCTTTGGACTGTAGCCCGTCAGGCTCCTCTGTCCACAGGATTTCCCAGGTAAGAATACTGGAATGGGTTGCCATTTCCTTCTCCAGGGGATCTTCCCAACCTAGGGATCGAACCTGCATCTCCTGTGTTTCTTGTGTTGGCAGTCAGATTCCTTACCACTGAGCCATCTGGGAAGCCAAAAATAGAGAATGGAAAGGGAAAAACTACTACTGAGTGGAGAAACTTGGCAGATAAAGATCATGTTGATATCATGTACCCTTGATACGATGTGATAAGAAAGGCCTTTCACATCTACCGTGCTCTTCCCTAAAACCCATAAACCCAATTTAATCATGAGAAAATATTAGACAAACCCAACCTGAGTGATATTCTCCAAACGTTCTGTCTGGTACTCTTCAAAATGTTCATGAAAACAGATAAAGAGTAAGAAACTCAACAAATCAGAGGAGACTAAGGAGGCATGACAACCTAATGCCTGGTACCATGGACTGGATCCTGAAACAGAAAAAGGACATTAGTGGAAAAACTGGTGAAATCCAAACAGTCTATAGCTTAGCTAATGGTATTGTACCAATTTTAACTTCTTAGTTTCTTGGTCTCAACATAGTTTTGATAGATGTTGACATTAAGGGAAGCTGGGTGAAAGGTACCATATGATATCATCCATATGTGGAATCTAAAATATGACACAAATGAACCTATGAAAAAGAAATAGAATCAGGTGAGAGTGGTGGGAGAGGGTTGAATTAGGAGTTTGGAATTAGCAGATGCAAACTGGTGTATATAGAATGGATAAACAAGGTCCTACTTTATAGCACAGGAAACTATATTTAATATCTTATGATAAACTATAATAGAAAAGAATATGAAAATATATATATATATAGCCAGTCACTTTGCTGTATAGTAATTAATACAACATTGTAATTCAACTATACTTCCATAAAAAATAAAGTATACTGGCATTTTCTACGTATCAAAGGTTTGTGACAACCTTGTGTTAAGCAAGTCTATCAGCGCCATTTTCCCAACAGCATTATTTTTTAATTAAGGTATGCACATTGCTTTTTTAGACATAATGCTGTTACACACTTAACAGACTACAGTATAAAGTATATATGGGCTTCCCCAGTGGCTCAGAGATAAAGAATCTGCCTGCCAATACAGGAAATGCAGGAGACAGGTTCAATCCCTGGGTGGGCAAGATCCCTTTGAGAAGAAAATGGCAACCCATTCCACTATTCTTGCCTGGAAAAAGTCCATGGACAGAGGACCCTGGTGGGGTGCAATCCATGGGGTTACAACTTAGTGACTGAGCCCACACATGCACACATTGTATAAATATGACTTTTATATATTTAAATTGAGAAACCAAAAAATTCATGTGACTCACTTTATTGCAATATTCACTTTATTGCAGCGGTCTGCAAACCCATAATATTTCCAAGGAATGCCTGTATTGACAAACTGATTCTAAAACTGATTCCAGGCCAGAGAGCTGGAACAGTCAGTACACTATAGAACAATCAGTAGACACTTGAAAACCCTACCTGAGTTCAAGACTTCCTATAAAGCTATGCTAATCAAGACAATGTGGTATTGGTGGGAAAAAAAACAAGTAGGTCAGTGGACAGGACAGAGAACCCAGGAATAGAATACATAAATGGTGCTGGAACAACTGGACATTCACATGTCAAAAAAGTGAAATGAGAAAGTTCTCTTGAAAAGTAACCATGAAGGTCACCTGTGACAGGAACAAAAAGTGCCTCTCAGTAAAGTTCTCACATTAAAGCAGTGGGTGAACTTAAATATACCTAAGTACCCATCTCCCCAGGTTTCACATGAAGGGTACGTGACTCACATCAGTCCCCCCAGGCCTGCCCATCCACTGGGCGGGATGCTACAGTAAAGGTGGAATCAGCAGAGCAGCCCCTCGACCTTGTGCCAGACACCTCCCATAATCCTCTGCTTGTCCCTGGCAGAAGACAGGCCCCTCCTGCAGAGGCCAAGCCAGACCTCTCATTTGATTAAGACTATGAGACATAAATAAAACTGCACCACATAAAAAGACTATTAGCCCCTCAGGAATAACAAAAATAAATATATACAGTAACATAAGTCTAGGTTTACATTTATCTATTTTCATCCCTTCGTTTCCATTACTATGAGATCCACAGCTCATCCAATAGATCTGAACTGATCCAAATATCAGTTTTTTCTTAAGCTCTCACAGACAAAGCCAAATCCAGATTCTACTATAATTCATGGCTTAGGACTGCCTACTGCAAATCACTGAATGTTAGTCCATTTTGGAGTTCATAACCTGAAATAGAAACTCAGATGATTGATATGGCTAATTTTCAGGTAGGATACTTTTGTTACTAGTGCATCATCTAGACTGTCTTACAGAAGTTTCTCAATAGCTGCTAATCTTGCTTTTAATTTATAAATGTGCTTAGTTTCGCTTCAATGTTACTTGTGGCTTGTCTAAACTTGTACTAGTTTCCCTTATCTGTAACAACAGTAGTTTGGGCCTTTTATGTCTCAACAATTAAGACTTTAAGCTGTGCACACATTGCAGTTCAAAAATGAGCCCCTACATATAACCCTATCACTGAGAGAAGAGGGAAGGCTTGTCTCCTCCAAAATCGTACAGGAACTCTCCATTCTTTTTCCACTAAAAAATGGGTACCTGCCAACTAATGGGGAACCCAGAGATCTCTGACTTCATCTCAAGTTGCTTCAACCCAAGTTCAAGAACCACTGACCTCCAGGAAGGTCTGTCTGCTCCTCTGACCCCCACACTATGGCAGAGGCCATCTTCCTCCAAATTCAGTGTGATGTCCCAGAGAGAAACTACAGCTGTCCACTGTCCAGCAATCTTGCTTTCTGGGGCATGTTTTCTGAGGACCTACTTTTTCCTAGAAGATCAAAGCTGGAACCATCCACTCTGTGAGCCAGGGGTATGGCTGTGCCCTCTAGCCACAACAGGACATTTCAGGACACACTGCAGGAAGTCCAGTATACAAGCCTCAGTGAGTGGACAAGGCTTTTGTTCTAGTGCAGATTCGATGGGAGTGCTCACCAGTTCAACCAAGCTTGAAACCGGTACCTGTGTGCGGTGCTGACTTAACAGAGGAGGCAAACCCCAACAATGTACAATGCACAACAGGGACAAGAGAAAGGTCACCGGCAAGAAGAGGAAAGGGAAATAAAGTGAAAATACTTGAGCCAGGTCAAGGGTATGAGCTTTTAAGTCTGGCAGACCTAGGCTTTTCCAACAGGCTGTGGAGCCTTGAGCACATCTGACCCAGAGCAGGTCCCAGCCCATACTTGCTGAATGAGTGAGTGCTGAATGAAGTTCTGAGCATTTCCTCATCTGCCAAGCAGTAACGTAATTCATTCTCCCTTGCAGAACTGAGAGGAATGAGTAAGAAACACAGTGCTAACAATTACTGACAGAAGACACAGTAGGCTGGGGACTAGAGTTCTAAAGCAAATTTTTCCTGACAGGAACAATTTCACACTAGGGAACCTGAGTTCCTGGACTCTGGGGCCAGGTTGGGAGGCAGGTGGGTGCAACAGAGCAGGGCAGGGGCAGGGCCAGGCATTGAAGCGAGGCCACAGCCCGGAGGGAGCCAGTTCCTGGTGGCTGCGAGGTGGCTCAGACAGCTCCCTGCCTCACCCGCCATGGTCCTCCCTCTGGTCTGGCTCTCCCGATGCTGCCGTCACCTCCTCCTGCCATCCTGGGCCCCCACACTTCAGGGCTCCTGGAGGTGCTGTTCCCAGGGTCCCAGGAGGAGCACAGAAGAGACAAGCTCCACACGCAGTGGGAAGATGTCACCCTCCAGGGTAAGTGGCACCAAGGAAGGTGGAGGACATGAGGGCAAATTTGTACCGGGGGGCAGAGAATCCCCTCCATGTCACCACAGGTCAGTGGAAAGCAGACCTGGTGGCTCAGATGATCAAGAATCCACCTGCAGTGCAGGAGACCTGGGTTCAATGCTGGGTTGGGAAGATCCTGGGTTGGGAGGAGGGCATGGCAACCCACTCCAGTATTCTTGCCTGGATAATCCCCATGGATTATCCAGAGGGGCCTGGAGGGCTACAGTTCATGGGGTCGCAGAGTCCTAGATGACTGAGCGACTAAGCACAGCACAGCACATGCCCCCACCGCCCACGCTTGTAGCCTAGTCCCAACCCTCAGCTCCCTAAAGCACCCTCCCTGCCCCCACCCCACTCACAACCCCAAGACACCCTCTATCTGCACCCTACCCTCCTTGCAGTTCACAGAGTCCTTAACAGAATAACATCCCCTCATCTAACAGTTAATTATTTCTCAGGAGGGTTGGGACAGCCAGTTCTCCCTTTCCCAAATGCACCTTCAAGTCCAGTTACAGCCCCTGGGCCGTGATCTCTAACTACCACCACCCCACACCCCACTCCAGGACTATGCCCAAGACAGGAAACTGCTTTGGCTCTGCAGTAAGATGACCTCTAATGGGGCTGAGGTAGAATTCCTGACTTCCAGTGAGCCTCAGCCCTCAGTTCTGGCTGATGACCTCTCCCTAATGCCCTGCCCCCACCCCCACCCCCCCAGGAGCCCCAGCCCCGCCCCACAGCTGAGCTGGCCCAGGTGGAGGAGCTGCTGGAGCAGCAGCTGGAGCTGTACCAGGCCCTGGTGGAAGGGCAAGAGGGGGCCTGGGAAGCCCAGGCCCTGGTGCTCAAGACACAGAAGCTAAAGGAACAGATGCGGAGACACAGAGAGAGCCTAGGAGAAGTCGCCTAAGCTTTCCACCAGTGGCCCCTTCACCCTCCAGCCCTGAAAACTGCACGCCACCCTCCCCAGCCCTTGGATCAGCAACATCCCAGCCTCTCCCAGGCCCTAAGAAAACAGAAGAAACTGCCACAAAAGATCCAGAAGTTGGATAGTCATGAGAAGTCATGGCCTCTGCAGTGTTTACACTCACATCGCAGTTCAACACCTCCCGGTGACCTCAGCTCACAGCAGGGTACACAGTCCCCACAGGAATTTACTCTGGATTATGTCCCCCAGAACAACTTCACCCCAAATCCAATAAAGGGATGGAACGCTTATAGACACCACAGACACATGAGTTTTTTAGTTTTGTTAAAAAAAAAAAAAATTCTGACAAATCAGGGAAATGGGCTTTAGGAGTGGTGGTGATGCCAGAGGGAAGTCATGGGGTGGGGGACTGGGGCTGTCCGGGGTTGGTAGCAGTAGTGTCTCCTTCACCCCCACGCCTGGTATGGTCTCCTGAAGAGGAACTGTCACATTCCAGAATGGGTGGGTGAGTCCTCTACCGTGTCTGTTCAACTGAAGAGAAAATGCAGCAGTTAGACTAGAACGTGGGAAAAAGTTTTTTAAAAAAATCAAAATAGGCACAAACAACCCTCTCCCAACACATCCAGATGTTTGTGTGGTGTGGGGGTCAGAGGATAGGTCTGGGGGTACAGAAAGAGAAATAATTTGATGAGAAAAGACCCCCATACACAGGTCAACTAAACATCCCAACAGAGCATCAAGGTGGGGGCGGCAGAAATATGGATGATGAACTTGTCAAGTGGCCACCATGCACCAGGGGTTTTAAGAAAAAACCCATTAAGCAATGAAGAGCATCTAAAGGACTGGGGGAAGCAGCTTCATGAGATCATTACTCACTGTAGGAGGAGATGTCTATCTCATCAGGCAGCTCACTTATATTGACTTCAAAGCGATCCTGCACATCATTGAGGATCTTGGCATCATTCTCATCTGACACAAATGTGATGGCCAAGCCCTTGGTGCCAAACCGGCCTGCTCTGGCCACCTGGAAGGAGACACGTGATAGGATGGGCAGGTCCCACAGAAGGAAGACACACAAAAGGAGGGATGAAATGCAAGATAAAGAAACTGAAGGGGTGGGAAAGGACACTGGGATATCTTCCAGGTGTGGGGCTTACCCGATGCAAGTAGGTGTCTGAATCCTCAGGCATGTCGTAGTTAAAGGCGATGTTCACCCGCTCGATGTCCATGCCTCGGCCAAACAGGTTGGTAGCCACGAGAATCCGTCGTTGAAAATCTTTAAACTGCTGATACCGAGAAAGCCTTTATGAGAAAGGAAAGCAGAAAAAGTGTTGAGATTTTCTTCTCTCAAGGGTACCTTTTGCTCGCAAGGACACAAAACATCTTGTCCATCTCTGACTCACCTCTCCTCCTGGGGCATCCCGCGGTGGATGGCAATGGCTGGGAAGTTCTGCTCCACTAGGAGCTGGGCCAGAGCAATGCAACGCTGCACAGACTTCACAAATATCACCACCTGTGTGCGTGCGTGGTGTGTATGAGATTGGAGGGATGTGCGTCCATGTGGGTGTGAGAAAGATTACGTGCAGGAGTTCTCAGTAATTACACTCTTCTAAAAGAAATCTTTAGTCCCCATCACATACTTCCTCTTCTGCTCTAAATACTAAGTCTTTCCCCCTTGGCTCTGACTTTTCCTGAGCAGACAAACATGCTGCAGAGGATGTAGAAAACAGTGACCAAAACTACCAGATACACCAGGAGACAAGAATGAAGCCGCCACACGAGAACAGTAAAAATCTGAACTGAAGTCTGGAAAGATATGACCAATATTCCCAACTCACCAAAACATCAAACACAGTAAGAGCTTACAGAAAATGATTTTTAGTGCAGGCAAATCACATAACAGATAAAGTGATGAAACACTTCTCCCTAGGTGAGCAGTGCAAAACACAAATTTAAGAACCTAACATGTCTAATTATTGTGGGAATCTCACCAACTTTATTAAGACTCAAGGATTTTATAATTTGAGATTTACTTTCTGTGTCAGGCATGGAACAGAAAAGCAGTTCCCATCATGCTCACGCTTAGCCCCTAAGTCTTTCTTTCATTTAAAATAATTTTTCCACCATTCTCTTTCACATGGCATACATGGCTTCCTCAATAAAAAGGTTTCTGCCAACAACTGGAGATGTACTCATTCTCCCTATTGGACCTTGGACAACTGACCTGGTTGAATTCAAGGACATCCAGAAGGTCAAAGAGCTTCCGGTTCTTCTCGTTGTCCTTCAGTTTCACGTAGTACTGCTGCAATCCATGCAGCGTCAGCTTCGTCTCATCATCCACGAAGACGGGAGGAGGGCAGAGTGGGGGGGTTAAACCTGGGGGGGTGGAGGAAGTTGATCTCCAATACACCCCATGGGGGGATGGGGAGAAGAGAGAAGATTGAAAACCCAGCCCCACCCCCAAAAATACCCACAATTTAATGTGGTCTTTTGTACATTAGATCTGATTTCCTTCCTATCAGTTGAGTTTTAAAATTTCCCAACTGAAAATTGTTATGGGAAAGAACTCTGCAGGGAGAAAAGGGCAGAGTCCAACCATCCAACGGTGAGATGCCATTACCTCAAACAGAGGTGATGGAGGAAAGAAACAAAGGGAAATGGTTCTCAAAGCGAGAACATGATGCAAACACCTGGGAAATCACGGCAACAGCGACTCGAGGTCAGAATAATTCCACCCGAGCTGGTTTAATACGGGGGAGAGGAGGGGAGAGCTCCATTCGAATAATCTCTCAACTAGGAGAATCATATCTCCATAAGGAAGGTAAATGTCTTCCCATATCTCCATTAGGAAGGTGGAAGATCAGAATGCTTCAATGGGCTTAAGGTCAAAATGCCATGAAAAGAGAGGCAAAGATTACTCAAGATGAGTAGCGACTTGCCCTCAGACCACAAGGAAATAGTTTTAGATGAGATTGGTCTCTGAACGAAAAATTAAACCATCTACAGTGTTACGAGGAAGGTACAATGAGTGGTGCTAAGAAGCAAATTCAGAGCAGCAGAATTACTCAGTCATCTTTAAAAACAAAACACACACAAACACAACCCTTGAAGGGAAGGTAGATAGCATTTACCAAAAAAAAAAAAGTGGTAACTGGCACAAAAGTCAACTCTAAAACCCAATTTCCCTTTGTGTGCTGTGCTTAGTCGCTCAGTTGTCCCCGACTCTTTGTAACACCATGGAATGAAGTCCACTAAGCTCCTCTGTCCATGGGGATTCTCCAGGCAAGAATACTGGAGTGGGTAATTTTTCCCTTCTCCAGGGGAATCTTCCCAACCCAGGTCTCCCGCATTGCAGGTGGATTTTTTATCATCTGAGCCACCATGAAGCCATGGTTAACATAAAACCCCAGGGTACAAGATTTGGGGAAAGGATAAGTGTGTTATAGGAGAAAACCAGAAGCCGAACTTCAGAATGCAGATTAGCAAAGGAAGGATTTCCAAAGAGAAGTTCCATGGCTTCCTTCCTATCTAAATTGAATCCCAAATATAGCTAAAGGTAAGAGTTATGATCCCACGGGAAGGAGCACAGCAGGGAGGGAGGAAAGAACACACTCCACTGCTTACACAAGGGCCTGCCTAGCCCAGACCCTACCACCACCTGGTTACACCCAAGTGGAGCTCCTCACTTTACTTTTTCCATATCCCTCTGAATATTAAGAGAGTTAAAAAGAAGAAAAAAAAAATCTACCACCCCACTCAAAACACCCCTCCCCACCAACACAAATGGAAAGAAACAGGGAGCACGGCACGCCTTGGGTTCAGGAAAAAAACCGGGAACGGAAAAAGAGGCTGGTTTGGTCCTCAGCTTCCTGGTCAGGTTCCCCGCGGCCTCCGCTGCCGCCATCCACCGCCGGGTGCGTCCGCATTCCCCCGCCGTGCCACGGTGCTTCTCTGCTGCCGGCTCACATCAACCGAGGTTCCGACGGGTGCGAGGAGGTACGGGTAGGAAGGAGTATGGACTCGGGGATTGAGGTGCCAAAGGCCCCCACCCCTGGAGGTGGGGAGGGAGCGGATTCATGTGTGCTGTTTGCTCTTCTTTTGGACATGCCCTGCCATCTGTCTGTCCCTCTCTTGCTCTCCTGCCACCGGGAGGTTGTGAGTTTGGGGAGCAGAAGGCTCCAGCTGTATGCACGATGCCACCTTGAGGGTGCGTGGCTGTAGGGGGTATGTAGAAGACGATGGGTGGGTAGTAGGGCAGAAAATCCTGCCCACCCCCAAAAGGGAGAAGAGGTTCAAAAATGCTGTGATGAAAAAAAAAAAAAAAGTCGAACACTACCCGCTCTCACATTAACCCGACCAAGTCTTCCGGAGTTTCCCTGGCGCCGCGCAGACCCTAACACTAACTGTCTCTGCCTCTGTGTGTCTCTTCAAGGAGTCATCACTTTCAAATGGGCACGTGCCCCCTTCTTGGCACTTGAAGGACAAGGGAGTCTGGAGGAAGAGGGCGCGGAGGGGGAGAAGGCAGCGGGCGGGGAGTGGAGGGAGAGAAGGTAGAAGGGTATTTACGTCTTGCATGAACTTGCGGCAGACTGGACGAATCTCTTTGCTCAAGGTAGCACTGAACATCATGACCTGCTTCTCATGGGGGGTCATGCGAAAAATTTCCTGGACATCCCGACGCATGTCTACAGGAGAAAGGAAAAAAAAATTATAGTAGAAGAGAGACATATATCATAAATGAAGATCAGAGACAGGTAAGGACTGCTGGAAATGGGTGAGCCGAGAGTTGCAGGTCAGGGTTAAGATTTGCCTTGGGTCTCTCTCTACTCTATTATCTCCAACCACCATGTAATCATGTCCAGGGTTATAACACAGCGGGAAGAACAGTGACTATGGACCAGGTTCCAGCCGTGTATTTTAACCTATTTTAACCACACAAGAAATTAAATGAAACCCCAAAGTCCACAACTAGAAAATGGGGATAAAGCCCACTGCAGAGGCTTACAAAGATTAAGTCCTTACAAAGCCCTTCTCCCTACTCCTCTCTCCCCAAGCTCCAACTGTCTACCAATATCGCGCACCTATTACATTCCAGCTGTCAGAGTCCATTCCACGCTTCCTCTGGATCACACTGTCCTATCCAGTCAGGCAAATATGACATCTCTACTTGGAGCCCACTTTATAGCTCGCCATCTAGAATAGCCAAAGATCATTTGGAATGACTTATCCCTGGGTATATGCCCGTCCCTAGTCTCATTCACCAAATTTGAGTTCTCATAAAACATCTTCCTTTCTTCATAGCACTTGGCACACTGGAACATCACACCACACAGACTCCCACACACACTCTCCACACTCATTCCAGAACTTAAGTCGAAACATTTATTCAGCTATAAATCTGATGATACACGCTGAGTTGAGGATGCCAAACAAGCAGACTGTCTCCTTTTCCAGCTCCATTTTCTTCCCTGTGACACCCACTATAGAGATTTACGAAGGACACAATGGTGGTGTGACTAACGTCCAAGATCAGCTAAGTCCCTCCTCTCAAAGATAAACATCTACCACAAAAAGGAAGAACATGATACCCTTCTCCTTGATCAACAAGGAAGGTTAACAAGCCTAAGAGAGACTGACCAGGGAAGCCAGAGCCATCAGTCATGGGTGATAGATTAAGAGTCGTCCTGGCACTAAAGTGCTCCAGTATCAAATAAGCATCATTTGGCTCCAAAAGGCAACTTCCCAGATCACTAGACCAGCCCCAGCCCGACTGGGACAACTCACCGAGTTGTTCAAGCATCTTATCGCATTCATCCAAGATAAAGTGTTTTATGTGTTTGAGGTTGAGGCTCTTATTTCGAGCCAGGGCTAGGATGCGGCCAGGGGTCCCCACGACGATATGCGGGCAGTTCTTCTTCAGCACCTCTTCATCCTTCTTGATAGACAGACCACCAAAAAACACTGCGACCTGCCAACCCAGAAGAGAACAATATTTTACAAGGAAGGGTCGGGTCAACCTTCCCAAGGTTCCCATCCTTTCAATTTGCTCTAAACCAATCCTCAGAACATTTCAGAGCTAAATGGAACATGAGATCACCTAATCTGAAGTATCATATCCCCCAAACATTCAATCTAAGAAACAAAAGTGACCTGTTCTAAAGTACATGGCTGATCATGGCTCTGAGGACTAGTATCTAGTTCTGACTTAATCTAACAATTTTCCTTCTCCACTCCAAAGCCAGGCTTCACTGTAAAAATGAGGATGGCAAGAAATTAACAGTGTCAAGTACCAAAAAAAAGCTCACGGCTATCAAGTGTTCCTAACTGACCCTAGATTTTTTAATTCCTTTGAATAAACCCTATTTAGGCTACACATGTTACTCCACCTTAAAACCATTAGGGAAATGGCTGTTGAGCCTTTAATACAGCATCAGAAACTGCTTTTTTAGTTTCAAAAGGGGGAGACCAATCAAGGGATCAGACCGTCACAGCCCTAAGTCTAGGGTAAATCTAAAACCGTTAATTGTGGGACAAGTGGTTTGCAACAAAACAGGAGATATACAGCATCATCTATGAAGAACTCTCGCCAAAAATCTTTAACTTGAATCAGTTAAGCTTTCAAACATAACTTTCAGTTTAGGGACTTCCCTGGCGGTCTAGTGGTTATTGCACTTTCAATGCAAGGAGCATGGGTTTGACCCCTAGTGGGGGAACTCAGATCCCACATGCTAGGTGGCACAGCAAAAAGAAAAAGAAAAAAAAAATTCAGTTTACAGGAAACACTGGGAGTGAAAAACAAGTTAAAACACCACCACAGGAGAGTAACCAGACAAATCCAGAGGTAGGACATTCTGCAGAAGTAGCCCAATCTCTTTTATCAAATCACTGAAGCATAATATTGAGCAGAAGGACAAAAAGACTCTCTCATCAAATTTATATTTGATCTTGACACCAAAAACATCCTCTTTTGAGTCCACAAGGTGATGAATTAGACCTACAGAGGTGGAACTACATCCTAGCTTTCTACTGAGCACAACAACAAACGTTTTCATAGTCATAACAATGGAAACTGTTTTGTTTTCAACCTATAAACAAGACTACTTGCTAAAAGGACAGAAAGTAAATGCTAACGAAACTGACAATGTAAGAACACAGATATACTTGACACATACACATAGAGCTTTGACTATATTTAGAAAATTAAATAGCTTCCCCAAGTTCTGGGAAAAAGAACAGTGTAAACAAGCTAAACAGTCTTACATGAAAAGTCAAAATGGCTTTTAAGATAAATTGAGAAAATAGTGCCTAATACTTGGTTTCACAAAACATCAGAAGTAAAAAAAAGTTAACAAGTGGTACTCTGTGAAGTATGATTAGACAGGAGAACACAAATTCATCATAAGATCTTTTGGATTAACTACCATTTTACCAAGCCCAAGTACTACTATTTTAAACAAATTACTTTAAATTTAGGGCTACTACTCAAATATTCCTAGTTCTAAATATAATAATTAAGGAGGAAATTGTTAATCTGAACAAAACTATATTTTTTCACCCAAAGAGAATACATCAAGCATATACATATGCTTCTCAAACTCCACAATTACCTGAGAATCTTGTTCATACTAGATAGGTCTGGGGTGGAACCCATGTTATCTACATTTCCAACCACTCCCAAGTGACACTGAAACCACAGGTCTGGGAACCACACCCTGAATATCACAGCTATACAATGCACACCCATACTGACACAGTGTAGATACACACTGACACAGGGTATACACATACCAATACAATGGGTTAAAAAGCAAAACAATCGGGAGGGAGGTGGGAAGGGGGTTCAGGATGGGGAACACATGTACACCCATGGCAGATTCAAGAAAATGGCTGGCAAAACCAATACAATGTTGTAAAGTAAAATAAATAATTTTTTTAAAAAAGCAAAACAAGTTTCTCCTTAATCAGAATATAGCAGACACCTCTAAAAGTATAATTCACATCCAAACGTAAATCTCTTACACACCTAAGTTGCAGGAACTTACTATGTCCTACACGTTTATTTGTGTACAGGTATTTAATACCTGTGTGACGTGAAGACTACTGATCTAGCAAGTCCCCAATGCCTTCAACTCCCCACACCCTCATTCCCTCAAGTCTCTTACCCTGGCTTACCTTGACGCTGGGCATGTATTTGGAGAAGCGCTCATACTCCTTGCTGATCTGAAAAGCCAACTCCCGAGTGTGACACATCACCAGTACAGACACCTGGGGTGGGGGGACAGTAGATGGAGACACAGACAGTATATCCCTTCACCAAGGATGTCACAAAAGCATACCCAGCAGATCACAAGTGGCTACAATTCCGGATCTAAATCATTAACCCCATGATTACTACAGAATATTCCCCAGGGCTCTCAGTCAAGAACGATAAAGGTCACCTTAGCATCAAGAACTCACAGCTCTGAAAGCATCATGTAGCTGAGACAACACCCTTCCTGAATACTACTAGCCAAGATGCCTTGCCCAGCACTCTCCCCAAGTGTACCTGTCCAGTAACTGGCTCCAATTGTTGCAGTGTAGCCAGCACAAACACCGCTGTCTTTCCCATGCCTGACTTGGCCTGGCATAGGACATCCATTCCCAGGATGGCCTGAGGGATGCACTCATGCTGGACTAGAAGTAGGGAAGAAAAGGTAAATTAGACTCCAATCTCCAGAGAACTCCACCACATTTTTGCACCAGGCCAAACCCATTTCTCACCACTCAATTCTTAATTCTTGTCAATTTCCATACCCCTTTCTCTCTGCTCCGTGAAAGTGAAAGTGAAGTCACTCAGTCGTGTCTGACTCTTTGCAACCCCATAGACTGTAGGCTACCACGCTCCTCCGTCCTTCGGATTTTCCAGGCAAGAGTACTGGAGTGGGTTGCCATTTCCTTCTCCAGAGGACCTTCCTGACCAAGGGATCGAACCCAGGTCTCCCGCACTGTAGGCAGACGTTTTACCAACTGAGCCACCAGGGAAGTCCCTCGATCAAAGTGATTCCCAAATCAAGACCTTCCCAGTTCCTTCTAGTATCAGCCTCTTCTAACTCCAGGGCCCAAAGTCCTGTATCAACCCTCTGGGCATCTACCAATTGGTCATCTTAGGTGTTCCTCTGTCCCAATGTTCCTTAATCTGTAACAATCCATGATTTTTGAGTGCCTGTCACAGGCTACTTCTCCTATTCAGACTGTCATGCTTTGGATGACACAACTGTGCAACCTTGGGCAAAATGAAGAACTTGGTAAAAGTGAAGTTGCTCAGTCATGTCCAACTCTTTGCGACCCCATGGACTGTAGGCTGCCAGGCTCCTCAGTCCGCGGGATTTTCCAGGCAAGAGTATTGGAGTGGGTTGCCATTTCCTTCTCCAGGGGATTTTCCCGACTCAGGGATTGAACCCAGGTCTCCCAAATAGCAGGCAGACGCTTTACTGTCTGAGCCACCAGGGAAGAACTTGGTACTTGACCCAAAAGCCAGCTATCTTTAGACCAGCCATAAAAGTTTGCAGAGACCAGAGCTGACTTGGTCCAAGGGTCCAAACAGCTCCTCTTTGAAAATTTTAAATTAAAAGAAAAAATTTAAAACAAGGAGACAAGGAGAAGAGACACTCTAAGTTTCCTTGAAATCACTAGCACTTACATACTATCATGAATAAAGACTAACCTATATCAACATCTTCTACTGCTGAAATAGGTTCTGGTACTTATTTCCTGATCTATCCAATATATAAATCTGTAAGGGACCATAACTATTATCTGTTTTCTTGTATCCTTAAAGCACCAATGAGTACTCTATGCCCAACAGGAAATTTACCTTCTGACGGATGCTCAAAGCCACAGTCAACAATGGCCCGGAGCAACTCTGGCTTGAGCAGGAAGTCACGAAAGCCAGAGCTGTGGATGGAGACATAGGAGCCCTTGACATCCTTCTTGGCAGGGGCCTCAGCCCCATCTCCCCCAGCTGCCGTCTCCACCTCATCATCTTCATAATCCAAGAGCTCATTGTCCACATCGTTCTCCGCCATAACTGAGCCGGCAGGCGAAGGGGAAGGGTCTCCAGATGGGTTAACGCAGAATAAAGGAAGACAAGAGGAGGAAGGGGAGGGGGGGCTTGAGGAACAGAAGAGGAAAAGAAACACACTAGTTTCTGACAGAAGAGCTGGGGGGGAAAAAACGGGGAGGAGACATCAGTCATGAGCAGAGCCTTCACCATCTATCCTGTCCATCCCCACACTCTTCTTTCCCTAAACTATGACACATGTACCTGGAAACAAAAGTAACAAAGGAAAAAAAAGTAACAAGAAAACACAAGACAAAGAAACAAAAGGCAAACATAACATACGGAATGGGAAAAGTGTGTTCCCCAGGGGTGGTGATTGGGACATAGGTTCCCAAAAAGAGGATCGGAGAAGCAGAAACCGGAAAGCTAGAAAGGCAAGGTCAGCTTCTAAATTCCTGCTCCAGGACAGCAGTAAGGACAAAAAAACTAAAAACACATAAAAAACAGACTACTACTAACAATTTACAAGACTGGAGAATGTTAAGTGATAAAATGAAAATTTATCAATTAAAGACCTTGTGCTTTCCCTATATCTCAAGGTGTCGACAGCAGCCATCAGTCAAGGGTGATAGATTTACGGTCGTCATTGCGCAAAGCGCTCACTTTTCAAAATGGAAACATCATGTGGCTGCCATCCATCTCTCCCAACACTCCAGTCTCCCACTCCTCAGACACTTCATACCTGCGCGTAAAAAATCCTTCGGTGATGGTGGCGGAGGAGGGTGGGGGCTAGAGAATGGCTCGGCCAGGAGAAAAAACCCACTCCTCCATCAGTCACATCACCGTTGCGTTACTTCTCAGGTATGAGTCGTTTCCGAAAAACACACAATGACACCACCCGTACACATTTAGAAGTGCTCCAAATAACGGTGGGCAAATCGAGGTGAGAAATGTCCAGGTAGGCCTAGAAGCCGGCTCCTCTTGGTATTCCCGCCGCGGACCCAGGACCCAGAAATAAGCGGGAAAGTGAGAAGACCCCGCCCTCCACCAATACCCAGGACCAGAGGACGCCTAGCGCCGCCTCTCAATGTCACTGGGGCCTCGAGTAATCGAGGGGCCCACCGAAGGAGAGAGAAGCAAAAAAAACACAATGGCGCCGGGGCCACCATCTTGGATTGGGTTCCCCCTCCCCCCCGCAGCTTCCCTCCCTCCCTCCCCCCCAAACTTTCTTCATCTCGAAAAAGATGCAAGCGATGGAACTAACGACCCAATCAGACTGCAGCAATCAGACCATGGCCTGTACAAGGGCTATCAAGAGCTTGTGCGGCAGGATGGCCGCAAAGAAACGCAGATGGAGGCGGATGGTGCCGAAGGCCAAAGCTTACCTGAGCAAGGCAAAGACGTATGGCGGCTGCAACAGCGACGAAGAAGGGAATCTGCCTTCACTTCCGGTTCCCGGTTTCCCTCCACCCCGGCCTCCCGCCTTCGTTGATGCGAGCGCGCAGGCGCAAAGAACCGGAAGACAGGCCTTCCCCAGTTGTGTAGTTCAGCGCGCTCCAGGGTTGCCTTTAGAAAATGACTGCGTGAAAAAAAAATTTTTTAAGCCACTTCTTACACCTTCGCTACTACCAGAAACACATCAAGGAAACTATAATCCTTCCCATTGTTATATTTTTTCCCGCTTGTCCAGTTCTTTGCCGCGCCTCTCCATTTAGATTCTTGCCACTCAGGTATTCTCTCTGGGCACCCCTCCGCGGGCGCAGGAGGACCCAAGGTGGCGGGACTTCGAGTTCCCACGGGGTCCTTGGCCCGGTAGTCAAGGTGACCTGGGGGCACTGGTTAGGGAACGGCCAGCGCCAGGTGTGGGTAGTGAGTAGTTCTGACGGATCCTACCCCTTACCTTTTCCCCAGTCTTGGAGCTGGTGGGCGGCATTTACCCAAAGTAATAGTTGGCTGATGTATCTGATGTCTTAAGGGCCGTGGGCTTGGGCTGTAAGTCAGGAAGGTGTTCTGAAGCCACTGAGTGCAGGACTGGGGGTCTAGCTTCTGCCCCAAGGGTTAACGATAAATATTAGGGCATGAGGGTTACATGCTGTTGGGTTAGTCGCTAAGTCGTGTCAGATTCTTGCGACCACATGGACTGTAGCCCACCAGGCTCCTCTGTCGATGGGATTCTCCAGGCAAGACTACTGGAGTGGATTGCCATGCCCTCTTCCAGGGGATCTTTTCCACCCTGGGGTTGAACTCAGGTCTCCTGCATTGCAGGCTGATTCTTTACCTACTGAGCCACCAGGAAAACCTGAGTGTTATATAATATTTTATAAATGTTGTTATTTCAACCAAAATGTGCTTAACCCTTTACCCAATAACCCCTCCCTTGGTTCATCCTGGATATTTTTACTGAATGAAACATTTGATATCTCTCGCCTCGCTTTTATATGCTAGAGAAGTCAGATGTGACTTAACAAAACTGATAACAAACGTTTGACCCTTTACCTGTTATCACTTAATCATTTAACACCAAGGTGTACCATTATTCTCATTCTGTATCAAGCAAAGAGATTCAAAGAAATAAATCAACATGTCCAAAGTAATACAGCTAACAAGGTGACAGAGCCAGAACGTAGACACCTCTTTATTCTCTACTGTATCCCATCTCCCTGATTAAAGAGTGCTTAATAAATACACTACAGATAACCTCATTGGTTCAAGGCTCGTTTTCTGTGGCCAAAAGAAATAACTGATTCCAGGATGATGTTACAGAAGGGCAGTTTTTCCAACACACAATATCTTTTTTCTTCAGTAGCATTTATCAGCTGCCAGTCCTGCGTCAAGTGCTATCCTAAGATCTGGGTACATAGCAATGAACAGCCCTATCATCACAGAGTTCACTTAGTAGGGGAGACATGTCAAGTACAGATAAATGCTATGAAGGAAAACAAAGCAATTTTCAGTTCAGTTCAGTCAGTCAGTCGTGTCCGACTCTGCGACCCCATGAACCACAGCACGCCAGGCCTCCCTCTCCATCACCAACTCCCAGAGTCCACCCAAACCCATGTCCATTGTGTCGGTGATGCCATGCAACCATCTCATCCTCTGTCCCCTTCTCCTCCTGCCCTCAATCTTTCCCAGCATCAGAGTCTTTTCAAATGAGTCAGCTCTCCGCATCAGGTGGCCAAAGTAATGTTACTACCTTTACTTTACTTTAAGAAGTAATGGCATTACAAAGCAATGCCAAAGCAGTGTTACTACCCTTCAGATTTTCTTTCTAGTTACCATCTATAGTCCTCAGGTTTGCAAAGGAGGAGCCACGTGTTTCTCACTTAAGAGAAAAACTTATGTGCCATTTGCTTTTGTTTCTCCAACAAGCTTCAAAGGACAGCCCTTTTGAGTGTAGAATACATAAGTAAGGAACAAAAATGACTGAAAATGAGAAGCAAAAGGAAGCTGGCTCGACCCACCAGTTGATTTGCCCATAATTATTTTATTGACACTTTTATTGTTAAAAAGGGAAAGTATGGTGTTGAGGATGTAAAAGGAAGGTCATGCACACAAGGGGACACAACATCACTTTAGATCTCAGGAAGCAGTAAGCATCCGATGGTTCTTTGGGGAAACAGGAAAAGGGGGAAAGCCAATAAAGAGAAAGACCAACTTAAGAGAGACAAAAAGGCTAAAAAAATGCAAACATCTTCCTGGAACCACAATAGAGAGGCTAAATAAAGCTATCATTTCATCTTTTCGGGGATCATAAGGTCTGTTGGAAAAGAAAGATGGGAAGAACCAATTCGCTAAAGAATTAGGAGGGTCACAAGATGAATGAGTAGAATTAGAAAGCCACAGACAGAAGTGAGAAAACAGCTGTGTTTAGGTTTTGGCAGATGGGCAGGTGGTCATTATAATATCACAGATTTGTCATTTATTGAATCCAGCTACTAGAAACCATGCTGGGCTCTTTACAGAATAATTTCTAGTTAATGCAACAACAAGGTAGTATTATTCCAGCCTTACAAAGGACACGGGGGTTACAGTTTAAGTAGCCTGTCATGGTTGCCCAGCCAGCAAGTGGCAAAGTCAGGAGAGAGACCCAAGCCTGCCTGGCCCTGAAGTCAGTATTTTCCACATCCCTACTTCTCCAAGATACAAATTTCACAAAGGATCTGAGTGAAGGTGACTTGGCAGTTTACACGGTCCCAGTGAAAGAGCAATAAGGAGATTTGGGTCTAAGCAGGGTATGTTTAAGTTTCACAGGAGAATTATCGGATCCTGCTTCCTAGAATTTCTAGGGAATGCAAGGGAGAGAAGGATTATGGTGGAAGTTGATTTTGACTTAGGGATTTCTTGGCAGGAGGGAACTGGGAGGAGGAGTCAGGCCCTAGGTTAGGTCCTAGGCAGCAATCCGGTAGTTGGGGTGGACCTGGGGCCTGACGTCGCAGACCATGCCGAGAAGCTGGGCTAGGACACGTTCGCGGTTTCTCTGCTGGGAGCTCTGCATGCCCTGCACCTGGCGCCTTGTAGCCTGCTCCACCTCAGCCGACAAGTTCCCTTGAGAGCCCATGGCCTGGGGAGTGGGAGAAAGGGTGGAAGAGAGAAAAGAAAAAGCAGAAACAAAAAAAGAAGCATCCAGGCACGTGGAAGGGTCCTAGAGCAAGGCCAGGAAGCAAGGCCCTCTCCAGAGTCATGCCCACCCACGGAAGTATCTAGATAGACACCACTCGCATCACGGAAATATCTGGACACCAAAGAGACCAACATAATGCCCTCTCCTCTAAGATCTGACATGCAGCATCATCCTACAACAGACTGTAGGATCCTTGCCACCCATGCCCATAAAATTCCGCCCTCCACCCCAAATGTCATCATACCCTGCATAGACCTCAGCCATCCCCCTTCAAGACTCTCTTACATACAACTAAGCTTGACCTCACCAGGGTCCCCTTCGACCCCTGACCACCTTTTTCTTGTGGAACCACCCTGTACACATCCCACCAGATATACCCACCAACATGCACACTGGGGGTCCCATCTCAACTCCCCCACGACTCACTGCCTGCTGCTTGCTCTGGAATTCTTGCTCTCTCTCTCTGCGGTACTGGTCCACTTCCATTTGTGCCTCTTCCTTTGCCTGCTTCAGACGCCGGGCCTTCCCTGGAGGCAGAAGAAAGGACTGAAAGGGGGGGTAGGACCCCTGCCACACACACACATACACACACACACACTGTGAGAGTAGGGGGTCAGTCCCTCCCCCAAAGTTACTGCCTTCTCTCTGTCAGCCAAGAACTGGATTCTCACCACCCACCCATCTCTTCCCTCCTAAAAGCAACCGCAGCCCCCAGCTCTCTCTCCGTCAGTCTTGGGTTATCCCAAGGACTCAAATGTTTGCTGTCTCTCTACCCCCAATTTTCTTTCCAGATTCCTAAGGACGAAATGAGACTCACTTTTTCTGGCATCTGCCACCTTCTCAGCCGCCCGCTTCTCGGCTTGCAGGAGCTGCTGGATACCCTGGGATTGACTGGCCATTTCTGTTATGACCGATGTTGTTTGTTTCTGAAGCCACCAAGGTACCAGATGGCTCCCCCTCTTCCCTCCCCCCACAACGCCTAATCCTCCTCCAGCTGTTTGCTGCAGCCTTTCACTCCCCCTGGGTCTTAGTGCTCCCCTTTTCGCTCAGCCTCCTGAATCGGGTGTCTCCCCCAAACTCATCCTCCCATTGATGGCTGATCCTCCTTTCCCACCTCTCACGCTGGCAGTACTCAGAATTACCGCCTGGTGGCAGCAGAGACCATGTCCAAAGCTGCCCGCTGACTACAGCAGGTGCAGAGCTTTCCCAGTTGGAAGGAATGGGGGGCGGCGGCCGAGAGGAGAGGAGTATTTAGGAGAGAAGGCGGCAGAGAGAGATTGAGAATGGGGTGAGGAGGTAAGGAAATTATCATGCGTGGTATGTTGGGAATAGAATATCTGGGCTCTCTGAATTCTTCCAATTTCTCTTCCCCTCTTTTTTCTCCCTCCTATTTCCATCTTTTTTTGCAACATCTTTCCAATTCCAAATTTCTCCATTCATCTCACTTTGTCCTACAGTTGTTTTCCTTGTCTTTTACTGTATTTTTCTTCTATGATCTGTCCCTTCCTTGGCCTTACTGTGGTTTGGGGTTTAGTTTTGCATTTCCACTGCGGTTTTTTTCTTGTTTTTATCTCCTTTGTTTTCCCTCTCGTCTCATCTTTTCGTCTATCACTGAACCATCTCCTCTCTCCTCCCAGTTGAGGGAGGCGGGGTTAAACTCCCCAAGAGCCTTTGCCGCTCTGTTCCTTTTCCGCGCCTGTCTTCCAGACTTCCGGTTTCAGACGGACCCTTTATCTTAAGTTCCCTAGTTTCCCCCCGGAGGTTGGGTCAAGGAAACACATCCTGCCCCCTCGGGGAGGGACGACATCCGGTAACACGCCTCACAGTTCATTTCCGCCCTTTACCTGCTTTTCGGCTTGCGCCACTTCCGTCACTCTAGAGTGTCTCCACCCTTCCCGCCTCCCTTCCTCGGAGCGTCTTAAACACAGGCTTCGGGCCTACTGCTCCGGGGGTACCTTGGGGGCGGGGGGGGGCAGGTCTGATGAGTAACCCCTCCCCCCAAGTCCCAGAGGGAGAAGCCTCTACATCTGTCTGCCGGGTACATTATATTCAATTTCTAGATCATTGTTTGAAATTGTCTATGACTTTTTAAAATTAGGTATCTGTTGATAAAAATTTCCCCCATCATTCTGTTTTGTATTATATAACAAAATCCTTTATGGAAATTTACCTGGGCTAATGAGCCTTTAAGTAATCATTTATCCTTTTCTCAAATTTTATATTTAAAAAAAAGTGACCCCAGCGCCCCTCAAAATTTTCTTCAAACTTCTCATCTGGTAAAGGGATGAGGGTTAGGATTGGCGTCATTTCTTGTTGAAAATTGTCAGAAGAGATGGGGAACCAAAGGGAGAAAACAGAATGCCAGAGATTGAGGGGAAGGGACCATCCAAGGCTGGGGTCCTGACTGCTGCCTTCTTATCCTTCTTCCTCAGCCCAAGAGTTCCATGGCCTCCACTTCCCGTCGCCAACGCCGAGAGCGTCGCTTCCGTCGCTATTTGTCTGCAGGACGGCTGGTCCGGGCCCAAGCCCTCCTCCAGCGACACCCAGGCCTTGATGTAGATGCTGGGCAGCCCCCACCTCTGCACCGGGCCTGCGCCCGCCACGATGCCCCTGCCCTGTGCCTGCTGCTTCGGCTTGGGGCTGACCCTGCCCACCAGGACCGCCACGGGGACACGGCGCTGCATGCCGCTGCCCGTCAGGGCCCTGATGGTGAGTCTGCCTGGTGGGGAACAAGGTCATGAGCAACTGATGGGGTCTGAGATGAAGGCCAGTGGTTGAAAAAATAAGCTAGTTATTTGGTCCTGGGACTCAGGCAAGTAGTTGACCAAGTTGGCTTATGGCTATCATTTATGACTTCACATTACTGAGCTACCACTGTATGAGGAGCCCAACATTACCCAAACAGCAACTAGTACTCAAACTTCACATCTCTCTAGATTGTTGTGTGTTAATTGCTCAGTCGGTCTGACTCTTTGCAACCCCATAGACTGTAGTTCACCTGGCTTCTCTGTCCATGGGATTCTCCGGGCAAGAATACTGGAGTGGGTTGCCATTCCCTTCTCCAGGGGATTTTCCTGGCCCAGGGCTCGAACCCGGGTCTCCTGCATTGCAAGCAGATTCTATACGGTCTGAGCCACAATATCTAGGTTAGTAGCTACTTTTTTTCTCTTAGCTGGTTGTTTGCCTGTAGTATGAAAAGTAAGATAGAGGGTACTCTCTGCAGTTACAATGCATGGCTTCAAATCCCAGCTCCACAATTAACAGCTGTGTGTTCTTGGGCAAGTAACTAAACTTTCTTGATGCTTAATTTGTCCCTGTGCAAAATTAATTAGTAGCAACCTTTGCTGTGTGCCAGGCACTTCTCATGAAGCAGCTCATTTAGGGCTGCCCTGGTGGCTCAGATGGTAAAAAATCTGCCTGCAGTGAGGGAGACCTGGTTTCAATCCCTGAGTTGGGAAGATCCCCTGGAGGAGGGTATGGTAACCCACTCCAGTATTCTTGCCTGGAGAATCCCCATGGACAGAAGAGCCTGGCAGGCTACAGTGCGTGGGGTTGCAAAGAGTCAGACACAACTGGGGGATTAAGCACACAGGCACTTCTCACAAAGCCACTCATTTAATCCTCACAACTACTCTGTGAAGATATAAACACTAATATCATCCTTCTCTTCTTAGATAAGGGAACAGCACAGCGAAGTAATTTGCCAAAGTCAAACAACTATTAAGTGGTAGAGCAAGGATTGTATCCCAGCAGCCTAACTAGATAGTATTTGCTCTGTGGTACTTTATAGAATTACAAAGTGATAACACCTGTGTTCAAAGCACCCATGTTGTGGCGTATGTTTTTAGCATCAACTGACACAGTACATAATGAAGCACCCAGCACATGATAGTTCAATCGCTCAGTCATGTCCCACTCTTTGCGACCCCATGGACTGCAGCACCCCAGGCCTCCCTGTCCATTACCAACTCCCGGAGTTTACCCTAAATCATGTCTGTTGAGTTGGTGACGCCACCCAACCATCTCATCCTCTGTTGTCCCCTTCTCCTCCCACCTTCAATCTTTCCCAGCATCAGGGTCTTTTCAAATGAGTGAACTCTTCACATGAGGTGGCCAAAGTATTAAAGTTTCAGCTGCAACATCAGTCCTTCCAGTGAACACTCAGGGCTGACCTCCTTTAGGATGGATTGGTTGGATCTCCTTGCAGTCCAAGGAACTCGCAAGAGTCTTCTCCAACACCACAGTTCAAAAGCACCAATTCTTCAGCACTCAGCTTTCTTTATAGTCCAACTGTCACATCCATACATGACTACTGGAAAAACCAAAGCTTCAACTAGACTGACCTTTGTTGGCAAAGTAATGTCTCTGCTTTTTAATATGCTGTCTAGGTTGTTCGTAACTTTCCTTCCAAGGAGTAAGCATCTTTTAATTTCATGGCTTCTGTCACCATCTGCAGTGATTTGGGAGCCCAGAAAAATAAAGTCTGACACTGTTTCCACTGTTTCCCCTTCTATTTGCCATAAAGTGATGGGACCGGATGCCGTGATCTTAAGTTTTCTGAATGTTGAGTTTTAAGCCAGCTTTTTCACTCTCCTCTTTCACTTTCATCAAGAGGCTCTTTAGTTCTTCTTCACTTTCTGCCATAAGGGTGGTGTCATCTGCATATCTGAGGTTATTGCTATTTCTCCCGGCAATCTTGATTCCAGCTTGTGCTTCGCCTAGCCTAGTGTTTCTCATGATGTACTCTACATGTAAGTTAAGTAAGCAGGGTGACAATCTGTAGCCTTGACGTACTCCTTTTCCTATTTGGAACCAGTCTGTTGTTCCATGTCCATTTCTAACTGTTGCTTCCTGACCTGCATACAGATTTCTCAAGAGGCAGGTCAGGTGGTCTGGTATTCCCATCTCTTTCAGAATTTTCCACAGTTTGTTGTGATCAGTACATGATAAGCACTCTAGATAACTGGCCATTGTTCCTGTGGGTATTAATAGATCCATACTCCTTATTACCCACAGTTCTGAAACTCAGAAACACTCTGAGAACCATGTTTTTTCATCAGCCTGCCACCAAACTCATTTGGTAACAAAAATCTAACCTAAACTGAAGCTAAACTATTCATGATATGCTGTTATGCTACTGATGTCAATATTCATACATTTCACTGCAGAAACATTCACATGTTTGGTTACTGGGGCTAGCCATGCTCTCCCAGACTACCTGATATACAGTGTACCATTGTCCCTTGGTATCTGAGAGGGATGGTTCTAGAAACTCCCACTCCCAGGATACCCAAATCCGCAGGTGCTCATGTCCCTTTTATGAGAAGGTGTGATGTTTGCATATAACCCATGCACTATCTTCCTGTAGATTACTTAAAATACTTAATCCAATGGAAATGTAACATAGATAGTTGCAGGCAAACTGCAGATTCAAGGTTTGGCTTTTGGAACTTTATGGAATTTTTTTTTTCCCCTGAATATTTTAGGTCTATGGTTGGTTGACTCTGCAGATGTGGAACCTGAGGATATGGAGGGTCAACTATATGTACTTTCAGATTAGCTCTTATCAAATCCCCCAAATATCTGCATTCTGGAAAGCCTTTGATATTGATGGGGGCTTGTTGATACTGTGGTGGCAGTGGAGGCAGCTCAGAAGAGGTACAGCTCTCCCTAAGAAAATAACTGGTGAAACTCCATTTCCCCTTTTAGAGACTTTCCTTCTAGAGTAAGAACGTTAGATGAAAATCTCTTGGTGGATGAGCAATCTGAACTCAGTTTGATTGCTATTGTCATCCCCCCCAGCTCCCCAAGAATGTACAGGAACCTCACCCACACCCTGAAACCTCCCCCATGTAGTCAAAAATCCCCTAACATAGGCTGACCTATTCAGATATTTCAGATATTTTTTTAACTTAGAACAAAGAGAGGAGGTTTACAAAGTGCAGGCACCTAACTTGACTGTTGACACTGTATATGACAACAGAGCAGAATGTCCTGAGGCAGACCTCAGACCCCATCAAGTTCCAGCCCTGCCACTTAATGGACTATGAGACAAGCCCTCTCCAGTTTAGCCTGTGTGAACTTAATTTGCTTCTCTAGAATGGAGGTTGTGGCAAGTGAGGCAAGCACTTGGTGCAGTTTTGATATTCACTAAATGATAAGTAGGGGTTCCCTAGTGGTCAGCAGTAAAGAATCCACCTGCAGTGTAGGAGATGGAGGTTCGATCCGTGGGTTGGGAAGATTACCTCAAGAAGGAAATGGCAACCCACTCCAGTATTCTCCAGAAAATCCCACAGACACAGGAGCCTGGTGAGTTAGAGTCCCTGGGGGGTCACAAAAAGTCAGATACGACTTAGTGACTAAATAACAACAAAAGATGAGAAGTACTGTTACTTTTATTCTTTTATTACTCAGTTAAGGCTTCATTAGTGACAGAAATGTCTCTTATGGTAGGTGCTTCCTTCATTGTATTGAATTCTAAGAAGAATGTGAGAGTGATATTATGGTTCCATTTAAGAATGAGGAACAGGGCCCAGAACCTTCAGGACCTTGCTGAAATTTCACCTACACTCAGGTCACTCCCAGGCCTTCTCAGGCTTTCCTTCCTCCTGGTCCCCGCCATCCTTACCACCAGGTGGCCTTCTAACTCCTTGGTGGGAAGGCCCATCTCTAGAGACCATTCTGCCTTAAAATCCAGATATTTTCTTTGAATAGATGAAATGACCCAGAATCTTCTCGGGGAGGGTAGATTTCCCTTCAGTTCCCATGGTGGGTCCAAGGGTTCTGAATTGGCTGGGCTGGGTTGTCACACCCAGTGAGAGGCCAGTGAATGGCTGTTACCTTTGAGGCTTTTGGTAACACCTCCTAGGAAGGTGGTCTTAGCTGTCAGAGACCCCTGTATAAACACACCTTAATCCAACAATAGCCATTCTCTGCCTTCAGCAAGAATGAGTGAACATTGACAAACAGGGTCATTTTGTCACCATCTTTGCAAAAAGAATAAGTCCAAAGCCAGCTTGATTTTTTGTTTTTATCTCCTTAGTGTAACATTCACTGCACCTCTGCCCTGTGCCAGCACAGTATGAGACATTTCCCATCCATTACCCACTTTGATCTGCTCAGTAGAAGTAGGCTGTGGCCCTGCTTTACAGATGACTGAGCCATCCGGTTTACGTTCCCTTTGCCTTTCCAACTTAACCTCCCACGGCACACCCACAAACCTGAGACTCCTGCTCCATGACTCTGTCTTCAGTGACCCCAAGCCTGTTTTCAACAAGCATGCCTGTCTTTTATCTGCCTCTGGCCTGTCGCCTTCCTGCCCGCCCTAGTAAGTTTTCCACCTTGCTAAGTTATTCTCCCTTCACAACCCAGTGTAGGCCCCCACCTCCTGCTAGAAGCCCTCTCCAACCAGCCCGCCCACTGTCACCTGGTCTTCCTCTGCATCTCAGTCATCACTAAACGTAAACTTCTGATCTGGCATTTTTTAAAAGTGTTCTGTACCAGTTAGTATCAACATCTTATTAAGACAGAAATCATGTCTCGTTTTGGGGAGTAGAACAGTGCTTCCATCACTGAGATGAAGTACGTGTTTACGCCACAAAGCCTTTTTTCACATTTATTTTTCCCAATATAAAAGTACAACATATGAATTAAAGAATATTGGGAAAAGTAGATCTTTACTGTTAATAAATTTGGTGTTTCAAATAACTGGAGAGGCTGGTGGTGAACTATTTAATAAATGATACCAGGCCATTTGTCTTCTCTGGAGAAAAATAGTCTTACCTAACACCCGACTCAAAAGTAAATTACAGCAGATTAAACATCTAAATGCAACAGGAAGGGCTCAAATTCATGGGAGGGTTTTCTCTGGGGGGATAAAACTTTTAAGACAGAATCAAAGAAAACTTTAGTTTTATCTCTGATGGTTTTTTTAAGTAAAATTATGTTGAAAAAACAAAAATATATTAACATACCTTGTGGTAGGACTAGGTTGCTTATCATACTGTACTTTGTACTTTTTTCCTTTTTTGAAAAAAAAATTTTTTCTAGGAATAAATATAGTAGGCAAAAACAGAAGGGCATAATCTTGGAGTGGAGAAAAAAACCCCCCTAAGAATGAAATAAAGTTAAAAGCTATAAGTTGAAAATAGATGCAGATTTAATGACAAAAATTTTGAAAAGATAGAGGAAAATATTTACAATATATGTGAAATAAACACAAAAGGTGGGTATCCATATTATATAAATAACTCTCATATCTATCCATATATTATCCAGGGGAAAAGTAGACAATATGAATATGAAAAACTTTCATTAATAAAATCATTTTTTTAATCTATCGGGTGGGCAAAATTTAAAGGCTTGGAGGTATTCAGATTTGGTAAAGGACTTCACAGGCACTCATATATTTTTTTAAAATACTTTTATAATTACCTAGTTTATTTCAAGAATAATGGAATAATATTCCTTATCACATATAAAAAGTTTCCTGAAAGTGATAAAACTATAATTTCATTAGGCACTCCTATTTTCTTGATGGGGTGTACCTTGGCACAAACTTTTTGAAAGCGATTTGGCAAAATTGCACATTTTGTTTGACTCAAAAATTCCCCTTCTGAGAATCTACCCCACAGAAGTGCTGTAAGGAGTCCACAAACACATATGTATAAGACTGATCATTTTTGGAAACAAAGTCTTTGTATTGGGGGTGGGAAGATTTGTTTCATATACACAACGGAACACTACACAGTCACAGAAAAGAATGAGGTAGGCTATGTATACTCCTGTGGAAATTATAAATGAACTGCTGAATGAAAACAAGTTACCAAACAACATGTAACTCCTGAAAAGAAATTGTCGTGTATATGTGTTTATATACACCAAGACAGGACTGAAAAGGGACCACACCTAGCTGTTAACAGTGATTAAATTTATTCTTCAATCTTTAAAAAGAAAAGAAAATTTCTTATTAATTAGGTACCTTTCACATTAAAATACCAGGTAAGACTTGGGGGGAAAGCTACTCATAGTCTACCACCCTGAAACTAGAATTTTTACCTATTTCTTTCCAATCTTTTTTTCAACCATTGATTTGGTCTCTTTTTTCACACAATTGTGATTGGATCCTATGTACAGTTTTGCAGCCTGCTTTTTCCCCACACCACCATAATCTTTAGTGGCTATTTAATATTCTGTACCAGATTTTACTCATGGTGTTTTATAGTTGGAGGCCTTACCTCTTCAAACCTGTGAATTTAAAAACCTCCCATGCAAACCTGAGCACCCACCCACCCTCACACCTGCTGTGAGCCCTGGTGAGAAATAAGCTGTTGAAAGACAAGGCCAGTTGCTGGGTGGGACAAATTGGGAGGGCTTGTGACAGGTCACATCAGTACTAAAGAGAAGTTCCCCCACCCCTCATCTTGATGTGGTTTGCATTGAGTGACACTCAGGTGTGCCAGGAGATGGGTGGGGGGCAGTGGGCCTTGGCCAGCCAAGGCTGGACCCATTCTATCTTGCACCTTCCTGGTACTGACAGGACAGCCCTTCCTCTGTCCCATTGTTTTGCCAGGCGGCCAGTATGTTCTAGCATCAGTGAATAAAGATTTAAAGACTGCTGGCCCACTTCCTCCTGCCCTAGGGAGAAAAAGTAGGTCTACAGGAAGGGAGGGTGCCTCACTCACCTCCCTCTGTCCTGGGAGTGCAAAGGGGGTTGATGGCTGTGGCAGGGGGGCACTGGTAGGTGCAGTGTTGGCCCTCAGCTGATAATGGAGCAGGTGCATTGAGGTCAGGACTCAGGAGGAGGGGCGCTCAGGCATGACAGTCCCTTTCCTGGTTTCCCCCAGCCTCCTGTCAGCCAGGTTGGGACCCTCTGTCTCAACCCCTTTCCCCTGCCTTAGGTCAGCAGTCATTTGGAAAGAGTTTACCCTGCTTCTGGGAACATTTCAGTGGCTTAAATTCACTAATGGACTACCTCTCCACTACCCTCCCAGCATTCCTTGGCTAAGGCTGGCTGAGAGAAATTTCCCTGAGAATATTTATTTTTCTCAGTTTATTGAAAAGTGATATAAAAAGAAAAATATTGTGTATTTGTATATTTATAGTGGTACAGATCAGGGTGTTCAGGTATTCTATATAGGATATAGTTTTGGATGAGAAACACGATAAAAAGTATAAAGTAACAGTATTTTTCAAGCCAAAAAATTGAATATCTAGTCAAAGGGAGGCAAGCTAGAAAATATCATTTGACATGGTGGAGCTCCCAGGACACCAAATTGGCCTGCAAGGACAGAGTATTTTAAACTACCGCACTTACTCATGATGTAAAGTATCGGTAAGTATTTGTCAGTGACAGTGATTGCCTAGTACCCAGGAGGCATCCATGTGGGCAACCGTTCCATTGCTCTAAGACCAAGGGAGTGAGTGACCTGCAGGATTCAAGATGGCGGCCCTCCCAGCTAATTTGTGCTCACTTCTCTCCTGTCAACAGCCTACACGGATTTCTTCCTGCCACTGCTGAGTCGCTGTCCCTCTGCCATGGGAATAAAGAATAAGGATGGGGAGACCCCAGGGCAGATTCTGGGCTGGGGACCCCCCTGGGATTCTGCTGAGGAGGAGGAGGAAGATGAGGCCTCTAAGGAACGGGAATGGAGACAGAAGCTGCAGGGAGAGCTGGAGGATGAGTGGCAGGAGGTCATCGGGAGATTTGAAGGTAAGGATGCCATTTCCATCCACAGCCGCCCTTCTTCCCCACTGGCTTCCTGTGCTCCCTTCTCCCGTGCTGCCCATCACCTCCTCACAGCCTGTCCGAGACCACCCCCACCTGCCCTCCCAAACAGATGATGCTTCCCATGAGACCCAGGAACCCGAGTCCTTCTCAGCCTGGTCAGATCGCATGGCTCAGGAACATGCCCAGAAGCGCCAGCAGCAGCAGCGTGAGGCAGAGGGAACCTGCCGACCCCCACGGGCTGAGGGCTCCGGGCACAGCTGGCGGCAGCAGGAGGAGGAGCAGCGGCTCTTCCGAGAGCGAGCCCAGGCCAAGGAGGAAGAACTGCGTGAGAGCCGAGCCAGGAGGGCACAGGAGGCACTCGGGGATCGAGCTCCGGAGCCAGCCAGAGCCGGGCCCCGGGCAGAGCACCCCAGAGGTGCAGGGCGGGGCAGACTCTGGCGCTTTGGTGATGTGCCTTGGCCCTGCCCTGGGGGAGGGGACCCAGAAGCCATGGCTGCAGCACTGGTGGCCAGGGGTCCCCCCTTGGAGGAACAGGGGGCTCTGAGGAGGTACTTGAGGGTCCAGCAGGTCCGTTGGCACCCTGACCGCTTCCTGCAGCGATTCCGAAGCCAGATTGAGACCTGGGAGCTGGGCCGAGTGATGGGAGCCGTGACAGCCCTTTCTCAGGCCCTGAATCGCCACGCAGAAGCCCTCAAGTGACCCTGAGGGGAGAGCAAGAAACTGCAGGAAGGGCAGGACAGTAGGAAGGTTAAGGTCAGGAGGCCAGTACCAAAGGGCAGAGGATATGGGGTGGGAGCAAAACTTGTAATGAGTGGGGGTGGGGGGACACGGGCCACCACCCTGCTCCTTGACTCTGCCATTTCCTAATAAGACCTGGTTCCACATTGCACACCCGGTGTCTCCTCTGCCTTTTTCCATCACTGTGGTTTTCATCACCCATGACTTCTCATTTCCCACTCCACATGCCAAAACCCACAGCTTCTATTCACCTGCACCATGCAGGCACACAATGACTGGTGCCCTCTGCTGCAGACTAGAAGCCCCCTGCCCACCCACCCAGAAGGGCGGTGCTAAGAGGACCCAGATTGCCTGCCCTCCAGTCTCTCCACTTCCCATGCTGGGCTCCTCTCCACTCTTCAGTCAGCGGTTGGAGAAATAGATGTGAACAGAGGCAAAAAGGGGAACAAAGCTAGTTTCCCTCCCCTCCCCAGCCGGAACCACATCCTCCTCCCCACTTAACACCCTCTTCCCCCAACACAGGGCTTTCCCTCTGCTGAGTCATTGAATGATCTGAATTGGGGGCAGCTGGAGCTGGGGGACTATGAGAACGTGGTTGGAGGATGGGGGATAGAAGCAGAGAAGAGAGGGGAAGAGTCCTTGTGGGGGAGTGGAATTTCAGTTACTAAAATTAGGAGCAGGGGAAGGAGGCGGAAAGAGCCAAATTATGTAACCTGGGTTGTCTGTTCTTGGGCAACCAGAGATCCACACCCGAGGCCATCAGTCACCTCAGGCTTCTCAGTCCTGACTCTCCTCCTTCAGGGCTCCAGTTCTCAACTCCTCCAGCCAGCTTCTGCCCCCATCTCAAACCTGGGCTCCATCTCTGGGTAGCCCAGTCTTGACCTTCCAGATAAACATCTCCCTTTTCCTGAGGTTGAAGAAAAGGTCCTGACGGGTGGTGGGAGAGGGTCTAGGGTTTCTAAGGCGGGAGGTGGGGGGAGCATCATCTCTTCCACTCTTCAAACTCAGTCCCTTCTTCAGCTCCCTTGAACTAGGATAGGAAGTTGCAGACGGCTCCAGACCCTATGCCACCGGTGGAATCCCACAGTACTGGCAGGACACAGCAGGAACTCAAGGGCAGGACTCGGGAGAATATGGGCGCGTGCCATCACGTGCGCAGTCCACACATGTCTGCATCAGAGAATGTTGTGAATCAGAACTTATTTTTCAGGTTTGGAATGGAATGCCGGTCTACACAGGATAATCCCAGGTGTGGAAGGAGAGGGTGATGGGGGACGGGGAGGGGAAGTCTCTGGAAGTACGGGGCACATGAGGTGCGTGTGAGGCCCTCAGAGAAGACAGAGAGCCAGCAGGCCCCAGGTCTCCCAGGACCCAGCAGATGTTCAGGGGGCAGGAGGAGGGAGGGCTGATGAGAAAGATCCTGTGAGAGGAAGCTGCCGTGATTCAGAGAAGAGACTTGAGCTGTGAGCAACCCAAGCGTCCGGTTCCTCTCAGGCCAGAGATTTCGGAAGTAGCATGCAAAGAGCTCGAGTTCGAAGTGGCGGGGGCGGAGGTGGGGTGAGGATCTTTAAGCTGGGACTTGAGAAGTGAGCAACAGAAAACACTGGTGTCCAAATTTTTTCCTTCACCCAGGAGACTTAGTCTGGTTTTTAAGCACATCATTGGCCCCTCAGAGAGAGTCACATCAAACCAAAGCAAAGTAAGTCCCACTCTGTGGCCCCCAGACCTCCCTCTTTTCAACGTCTCTCCCTGGTGTCTGGCCCCCAGCCCGGTTGGGGGTTCCCCTGAGATGAGGGCTGTTCACTTTCTCTGACCACATGGTTTCCGCTTCTGTGTCTCTTATTTCCTAAGCTGATAAAAATACTGAGCCCTAGAGGCCCTGGCTTCCTCTGACCCCCTGGGGCCAAGCGGCAGGCATCCTGTCTTCCACAGTTGGGGTGGGGAGGGGAAGCAGGGATCCCCAAGGGGTGACTCAGGGCCTTCCGTGCAACCCTGGGGACATGGACAGGTTCAGCCTTGCTCTAGAGCTGGAATGAAGAATTGTTTCTCAGTGGAGGGTGCATTGGGGTTCAGTTAAGAGACACAGGGTTGGGAATGAGACTGATGAGATTGAAGAGGGTCCCTTGGGAGATTGGGGTTGGGGCAGGTCTGGTTAAGTCTGGAAAAGGGTGTGGGAGGGACTGTTTTCAGTGCAGTTCAGCTGAGCATCAAGTAGCCCAAAGATAAATGCAATCTCTGCTTCAAATTTGCCGTCCAGTAGGGGAGGCAGACCTAATCAACTGATTCAAGGCATGCTGAGTGAACTGGATAGAGTAAGGTACAGTGGATGTAGAAGGTGGGGTGGTGGGGTGGGTGTTCCATCTGTAAGCACCCAGCAGGCTCTGAAGGAGGAGAGGGCATTTGATGAACAGGTGGGATTTGTGGGGGAGGGGGTGAGTGAAAGGGCCCCAGAGAGGAGTGGAACAGCTTGAGCAGTGGCTGAGAGTCAGAAAACTATCTTCAGGAAAGGCGAGCATCCTGAGGTAGGTGGAGTGCAGGTGTGAGGGAGCATGTGTTAAGGAAAGGACAAAGAATGTCATGGTAAGGGGTGTGGACCTGGCAGGCAGTGGCACTGTGATGGCTGTAGAGAAGCGGGGCAAGGGGCTGCTTCAGGTGTACAGACAAGGAGTAAAGGAAACAGGTGCCTTGGGCCGTGGGGGGAAACATGCTATGTGTTAACCATGTCACACCCTTTTCCCAACATCAGAATCCTGCCGGCAACTGTCCAGAAGATCTCCGTTATAGATGAGACTGAGGCTCATAAATGTACTGTAACTTACAATCACACAGCTACAAAGTAGTGGAATTAGCATTAAACTCATTTTACCCCAAAGCCTGTGTACTCTCTACTTAGGTCCCAATAACTCCAAGTAGCATCAAAGGAAGGAACAAATCTTATATCTTTGAGAGGGATAAGTCATTGGGATGTGCCAGCTGATTGGATGGTGGGAGTGGGGGAAGAGGAGTCCTAGATGGCTCCAAGTTTTGAGCCAAGGGCATAAGAAAGACCAGAATAACCGAAACCAAGGAGGTATGTGGCTGAGGGGAAAATGAGTTGATTTCAGACAATCAAATTTTTATTAAGTACCTGATAGGAGCAGAGTGCTCTGCTAGACAGTGAATATAAATGAAATAAAGTCACTGCTCTCAAAGGGCTTGCAGTCTAATGATATACAAACAAGTGGGCTTCCCAGGTGTGCACAGTGGTGAAGAATCCACCTGCCAGTGCAGGAGATGCAAGAGACAGGTTTGATCCCTGGGTCGAGCAGATCCCCTTGAGCAGGAGATGTAACCCGCTTCAAGATTCTTGCAGAGAAAGTTCCATGGAAGATGATCCTGGCAAGCTACAGTCCTTGGGGTGGTAGTCAGACGTGGCTGAGCACACGTTTCACATTTAGGCTACAATGAACCAAATGATCTAAAGTAGGTGGAACAAGCTAACAGAAATCCTAGGGATTTCTCCAGGGTTCTCCCGTGTACAAATAAGCACCAGCCACTTGGTGACGGCGGTGCACCTGCTTAGAGTAACATAGTGCTCAAGAATGTCCTGCAGGGTATGAGGTAACAGCATGACACTCAGGTGCAATTTTCCAGCAGGCAGGTCTGGAGCTCAAAAGGAAGGTTGGAGCTGCTGGAGACACAGATTTGGGCATCCTTTTCTGAGTGGACAGGATCCCTCCAAGACAGGGTGATGAGAAGAACCTTGAGGATGATCAAAGGGAGAGAAACCAATAAAGGAAGAGAGGTAGAAGGGACAGAAAAGTAGGACAAGAGAGGTGTGCCAAGCAGAGACCAGGCAGCCACATCTGATACTTCAAAGAAGTCTAATAGGTGAGAGTTCAAAAGATCCTTTGGGTTCAGGACTAGACAATTACAAATTTTGAGAAAACAGTTTCCACTTATCGGAGGGGTAGAAATCGCTTTACATAGGTTAAGGAATGAGTGGGAGGTGAGGAAAAGGAGGAGCTGAGTACAAAGTCAGATTGGTGAATACTGAAGGTAACCGAGAATCATCTATTTCAACCCACAAATATTACAGTGAGGAAAATTTTACCAGTTCCCAAAAAAGTGGTTAGTTAGAGGGCTAGTTTCTTGAGACATCACACAGAAAAGGAAGGTGAGAGATGGAATGGACATTTAAGGGGGAGAGAGAGTCCAGGAAAGGCTTTTTTATTTTTGAGAAGAGTATATAAAAGGAAGGCGCATGGAAAGAGATACTGAAAATGAGGAAGAGGGGAAAGGGTATGGTAAACATGGGGATGTGAAATCAGAGTACAAAGAGTCTACCTTAGGAGAATGAGTCCACTGAATTGAGAAGAAAAAGGAAACATGAAGGGAAAATAGGCAATGAAGAGGCACTCCTTTGGTGACCTTAAGTTCGATAAAAAGATAATAGTGCCACTGAGAGTAAAGAGCTAGGGAAGTGTGGAGATTTAGAACATGGGGGAGAAGATTTAGTACTCCTGCAGGAGTAGAACAAGGACGTCAACAAGCAAAGATAAGGGGACCCTAAGGGCTTCATGAGATTAGATGACCAGGATTCGTAATAGGCCTCTTCTGAGGATATGACTCTCCTGCAATGCTTGGCAGTCCAGGAGAAGGACCCAAGAATGGTAAACCACTGAGTGTACCCAAATCAAGCTTTTCGAGATCTTATTGGTAGAATATTAGGTAGTGAAGGCGAGGTGAAGAAAGACTGATCTAGATACACAAGTTGTTAGATGTGTGGTAGAGATAGGGGTGGAGGAGATTGTGCTATGAAGACCAGAAGAACATGTAAGATACAAAGCCATGGACTTCAAGAAAGGAGGAGGTTATCAGTGGTGCCAAGGGGAGAGAGGAGAACAGTGTCCTCTCCTGCCCCCTGCTCCTAGTGATGGGTGTGGAAGAAAGAGCAGCCTTTACCACAGAATGAAAGCTATTGGGGAAAAGCCAGGTTTCAATGTCCCAGAGGAAGATGCTTTCAAAAGTGAAATAGAGGATGTGAATATATGAGGAGTTCCATAAAATATTGTGGAATGGGTTGTTACAAGCATCCTTTGTTGGATAGGGGGTCGAATTCAAGGAGGTTAAATCCCAGTGAGAGTTCTAGAGAAAAGTCTGGAAGGTTTTGCTTCTGGAAGGAAGAGGTTGTTGCTTGTGACATTTAGAATAGGAGATACATTGCATTTATCATGAAGGAAAACATAAATACCTCAAAGGAATCTTAGGGGGGTGTGTGGATCTCCTAAGGCACTACCTGGGCAGTCTTGGTGTCCCTGCTTGCAGTCTTACTCCCCACAGTCCAGTCTAAACACAGGAGCCACAGTGATCTTTTAAAAACGTGAATCCAATCACTTTTACCTCACACCTCCCTCTCTCCTCCCTCCACTCACCCACATACGTGGACACACCCTGACACCCTCCAAAGCTTCCCCTGGTTGACGACAGTTCAGATGCTTTACCTGTCCTTACAGGGCCCTGTGTGCTCTGGTCCCTGCCATGCCCCTGTTCTCTGAGCTTATCCATCTCCCACTCTCTCTGCTCCAGCCTCACTGGCTTCCTTTCTGTTCCTCAGCGCCCCCAGCTCATTTCCATCTTCCAGCCTTTGCATTAGCTGTTTCCTTTGCCTGGACTGCTTCTCACCCAAACCTTCACTCAGCCACTCTTGTCATTTAGGTCTCAGCTTAAAATGCCATTTACTCAGAAAGGACTTTTCTACCATGGTGTCTAAAGTAGATCCCTGCCGCTCTTAGGACACATCCCTATCTTATTTCCTCATAGCGCTACTTAACTGCTTTCTTCTTCAGTGTATTTCCTTTCTGCCTTGACTCACTAGAAGGGAAGCTCCCCGATGGCAGGTACGTTGTCTGACCTGTTTACCACTGTATCCTTACTGCCTGGAACAGTGCCCAGCACGCAGTAAGTTCTCAATCGATAGGTGTTCAGTATGCTACTGGGGAAGAGCAGAGAAACAGCTCCAGAAAGAGTGAAGAGATTGGGCTAAACCAGCAATATCACTGTCTGGTGGTCAAAGTCAAGTCCAATGCTTTAAGTTCCCAAAAAAACTCATTAAACGGAAGCATGAATGAATAACAGGGAAAAGCAGGATAAAGCTCAACTTTAGGTTTGTGGCTCAGATTGAACTTACATTTCGAGTCACGTTTAACTATAGGATTAGGAAGGGAGATGAGTTAATTCCACGATGAGCTCTAGAAACAGGGCTGGGTTAGTTTAGTGCATAAGTTTATTTAGGGGGTTCATTATTGAGATGTGTTTAGATTTGAGGTTAGGGTTGATTTTGAGTTGCGATTTGGGTTGAGGTTAAATATGGGTTAGGATCAAAGTTGATGTTAAATCCCAGTTTAGGTTTTGAGGCTAAGTTCAGGTTTGAGGCTGGTATCATTTCAACCTCATTTGGAAGGCTCAGAGATTTCACTGGTTTTCTCCACAGAGACCACTGTAGAAACTGTACTTCCTTGGGTTTGGAGCACAAGACTCTAGTCATCACCCCTCCCACTCAGGGAAAGCCCCAAACCAACTGCTGGCCTCCTCAAGAAAGAAACTGAATTTCACACAACCTCCGAAACTAAGATTGAAACCAAGATTGGTCCATCTCAAGGAGCGTCCCTCAGCGCATCGCAAACGCCTGTGGCACAGACCCAGTTCTCCCCTTTCCTTCCTCCCTCTCATGTTTCCCTATATCTCCTCCTTGCCTTCCCCTTTTCGCCCTTCCATGTCCCTGTTTTCCTCTCTGACCGAAGCTTCTCCACTTCTGTTTTTCACCATTAATTGCAACATCATTTTACACTTTATTAATAATATAGCTAAGGTCGCCAAGTCCATCAGCTCCTACCATTGGAGAGGCAGAAAAAGACAGCAGGAAGGAAAAGGGACTCCAGAGAGGAGGGGCACAGGGCAAAGGCAAGGAACAGAGATCAGGAGGGAGGCCAGCAGGGACAAAGGACACAGTAAGGTTAAAAGAAATAAGATGATGCCAATAGAGGCCAAGATACTTAAAAAGAGGCACCTGTGGCTACCCTTCTTCCACCATCAAACCTGGTAAGCCACCAAGACCTGTAGATTTTTGCCTAGAAACTCTCCTCTCCATTCTCCTGCTACTGCCTCAATTTATATACTGCAGGCTCTTGTCACCTCCTTATTGAGTTGCAAAACCTTCCCAACTGGTCTTCTCACATCTGGTTTCCCCTCCAGACCCCAGCTCCCATACCTCAATTCATTCTTCCTGTAGCTTCCAGACTCGTGTTTTAAATATACCAATCTGGGTGGGTCCCTCTCTCACTTAAAAAATTTGGTGGCTTCCCCTCAGAATGAAATCCAAACCAATTAGAATGAAATCTTTTCTTGGCTCTAAACCCTCAGGATGTGTTCTTAGCTTGCCTCCCAAGCCTCATCTTTCTTCCTTCTATCTGTATTCACTTGCACATGTTAGCACACTTCATACTCTCTTTTACCTCCAGGCTTTGCACCTTCTGTTCCCTCTATCAAGAATGCCCTTCATCATCTTCTTTACCTTGATACTTCATGCCTGGATCACCTCTCCCCCAGGTCAAGTTTTATGGCTTTACTGTGGGCTGCCATAAGCGTGCTGTCAGAAAAACCACACTTTACTGTAATTATAACTAACCTGTGTCCCACACTGGTCTTTGAGCTCCCAGAGGTTAGGAGACTGTCTTCCACATGTTTCCTCAAATGCCTTGTGCAGATGCTTGATAAATGTTTGTGGAATAGAGAAAAAGCTGAAGAGATGGAATGAGGGAATTCCCTGGCAGTCCAATGGTTAGGACTCTGCACTTTAACTCCTGTGGCCCAGAGTAAATCCCTAGTCACACATGGAATTAAGATCCTGCAAGCCATGAGGCATGCCCCCCCCCCAAAAAAAAACAATGAAAAGAAGAAATTAGACTAAACTAAGAAGGCATGAAAGGCAAAGTTGCAGGGCCTCAAGTAGGAGGAAAAAAAAACAGGAGAACTAGCTCATACATACCCTAAATGTGACTTAACTGCCACAGGACACCAAGACCCCTCAGGGACTTTCTGCCAATGCAACAGAGGAAGGGCTTGAGTTTCCATCACCACCATCCTCAGCCCCAGCCCCTCCAAAACCTTCCACATGAAAGCATAACAAGTCATAAGAGTAGTAATAATATTTGAGGGGGCCAATTGTTTTCTCAGTCTTAATGAAATGTGATTAAAATCATCTTTAGAAACGTTGCTGTTTTTTTGACCTACAACCTACAAGCTAAGCGAAACCTCATTCGTGTTCAAGAATATTCATATCATCATTTTTCATACTAGCCCCAAACTAGAAACAAACCGAATGCCCATCAACAGAAAAATGGATAAATAAATTAGAGTATATAAACACAGCATCACATCGCAATGAAATAATAATTGCTACTGACACAACCGTGTAGATGAATCTCACAAATATAACACAAAGAAGCCAAACACAGATGAGTTGTCTGTGTGATTTATTTAAATGAAGTCCAAATATAGGAAGAACTGGGATTTCCCTGGTGGTCCAGTGGCTAGGACTCCAAGATCCCAGTTCGCGGTGACTGATTTCAATTCCTGGTCAGGCAGCTGGATCCCATGTGCCACAACTAAAGGTTCCACGTGCTGTAACTAGGACCCATCACAGCTAAATAAATAGATAATTTTTTTTTTTAATAGGAAGAACTAATCTGTAGTTGTAGAGGTCAAAAAGTGGTTGGTTATCTTTAGGAGGTTTGAACTGAGAGACAGCATGAGAGAACCTTCTGGGGAAGGTTCTAAAAATATGTTGAACTGGATGGTGGCTGCATGGCTATAAACAGATGGAAAACTTCATCAGGCTGTCTACTAAGGAGAAGTGCATCTCACTGTACCTGAGTTCCAGATTGACAGAAATGGGAAATCATTAATGATTTCACAACAGTGTACTGGGGCTTCCCTGGTGGCTCAGTGACAGAGAATCCACCTACCAACACAGGAGACACAGGTTTGATTCCTGGTCCAGGAGGATCCCACATGCCATGGAGCAACTAAGCCCGTGCACTACAACTACTGAGCTTGTGCTCTAGAGCCTGAGAGCCAACAACTACTGAAGCCCATGTGCTCTAGAGCCAGTGCTTCACAACAGAGAAGCCACCGCAGTGAGAAGCCCTGCACTGCAGAAGCACTGCAACCAGAGGATAGCTCCCGTTCACCGCAACTGGAGAAAAATCTATACAGCAACAAAGACAGCGCAGCCATAATGAAAGGAAGGAAGAAAATTATAAAAATAAAACAATGTATTGACTTTACAAATGCAGCTTCAAGACAGATCATTTTGCTGTCCCCACCCCATCCTAGAGCACCACCTTTGAGCTCCACCTGTATGGAATTCTGAAGCCTGCAGTCTAGAGAACTTGAGCAGTTGCCACACTCCTTGATGCTGGAATGTGTTTGTTTGGGGTTATATAAATCTGATCTTTTGAGCCCACCTAAGGTTGGGATGAGGTAGAGGGCATCCATCAGTAAGATGAGACCTCATCATACGTGAGTTCATAGCCTCATCCCTGAGTGGGATTTTCCAAACCAAGACACTTCTGAGAGCAGAACGGAGCTCCATGAATGTTTCCACCAGGACAACAGGCATAAACCAGGATGTCCCAGGCGGGAAGGTATATAATGGAACTTCTTGATGTGAAACCCACCAGATGACCTGGAAAATACACAGACCGGGACAAGTTGACTAGAGTCTTTTGGGACAAAGATGTGGGGTACGAGAGGAGGAAACTTGCACACAGAGAAGGCTGTAATCAGTCAAGGGTGCAGAGGTGTTACACAAAATCACTCTTCAGGGAACCGGGCCTCTAGCCCACGCCCCAGCAGCTCCCCTTCTCCTCCTCTGAATTTACTGTCCCTTCTCTAGAACTCCTAAGCCTGACCCCGCTCCCTGGCCCTCCCAGCCCACGGTTCCCCTGACCCCACTCCCTTTCCCAGAACTCAGTCGTCTGAGCCCCCAGCCTGCGGTTCTGTCCTAGGCCTCAGCCTTTCCTGCCTTCGACTGAAACAGCAGCATCTTCTAAGCCCTGGGGGCTTCCCCAGTCCCCAGCCCCGGCCTAGAACCCGCCCGCCGCCTGCCACGCTGCCACTGCCGCTTCCTCTATAAAGGGACCCAGGCGTCCGGGCCAAGGGGCCCCCGCACAGCAGGTGAGACTCTCCTAGCCCATCTCCTCGGGCTGCCGGGGCGGTGGACTCCTTCCCCGGGGGCGTTCAGTCCCTCCTCTTACACCCCAGCCCCTCCTGCCCCTCCAGCCAGGGCCAGGGCCTTGGCGGGCCTGGTTTTGGTTGGTTCCCCTCTCTCTGGCTGCATCTGTCAGTCTCTTTCTCCCTGTCTGTGTCTCACATTCTGAGCCCTTTCTGTTCCCCTCTCGTCTCTGTCTCTCTCTCTCCTCCTGCTCACCTCGGGGTTTCCCTGATTGCACCTTGTCCCCTTCTCTGTCTGTCGCGCCGTGTCTCTCAGGGTGGCTGTCTCCACCGGCAGGAGGCCCGTCTTCCTCATCGCGCCCCGCCCCGCTCACTGTCTCTCTCCCCGCAGGTTCTCCCCATGACACCACCTGGACGTCTATACCTCCTGAGGGTGTGCAGCACCCCACCCCTCCTCCTCCTGGGGCTGCTGCTGGCCCTGCCGCCCGAGGCCCAGGTGAGGCAGCAGGACCAGGGGGGCCGTGGGGGGCGGCCCGGCCCAACCCTGGGCCTTAAAGCCTGTCTGACTCCCTTCTCCCCTAGGGGCTCCGTGGCGTTGGCCTCACACCCTCAGCTGCACAGCAACCCCCGAAACCCTTCACCCGTGGCACCCTCAAACCCGCTGCTCACCTTGTTGGTAAACATCCACCCGCCCTCCTGACACGTAGCCCCCAGCCCTCCTCCTGCCCCTTTCAGAGACCCAATATCCAACCCCCCACTCCAGCTCACCCCACTCCCACTCCCTCTGTCCTCCCAGCCATCCCTGGGAACTCAGTCCAGCACCTGTTGCCTCGGGGACTGAGACCATTGACCCCCAAGTCCTTGAGCATCATCCACTCTGGCTCTTCCCAGGAGACCCCAGCACCCAGGACTCGCTGCGCTGGAGAGCAAACACGGACCGCGCCTTCCTCCGCCACGGCTTCTCTCTGAGCAACAACTCCCTCCTGGTCCCCACCAGTGGCCTCTACTTTGTCTACTCCCAAGTGGTCTTCTCTGGGAAAGGCTGCTTCCCCACGGCCGCCCCCACCCCTCTCTACCTGGCCCATGAGGTCCAGCTATTTTCCCCCCAGTACCCCTTCCACGTGCCTCTCCTCAGCGCTCAGAAGTCCGTGTGCCCAGGGCCACAGGGACCGTGGGTGCGCTCGGTGTACCAGGGGGCTGTATTCCTGCTCACCCGGGGAGACCAGCTATCCACTCACACAGATGGCATCTCCCACCTGCTCCTCAGCCCCAGTAGTGTCTTCTTTGGAGCCTTCGCTCTGTAGAAACATCCAGAAAGAAACAAATAGGCTTCAAGGCCTTCTCCCCATTTTGCCTCCATTCTGACCACTTCAGGGGTCATCTCACCTCTCCTTTGACCATTCCAACAGTCTTGAGTCTTCCCCACCCCGGTTCTCAGCACTGGAGCTTCCAAAGAAGAAATTCTAGGCCCACCAGGGGACCAGACCTCCCTGGACCACCCCAGATGCTCAGCTGAGGACTTCAAGCCTGCCTCGAAACGCCCGCCCAGATCCCTTCCTTGGCCCTGCCCATCTAGGGGGCCTCGTCTTGAACATGGAGAGGGGAGCTGACATATGAAGGAGCTCGGGTGGATGACTAAAGCCGGGGGGGTGCTTATTTATGAAGGGAAAACAATTAAATTATTTATTTATGGAGCATGGAGAGAAGGGAATAATAGCGAGACATCAGAAGAAAGAGCTAATACACCCAAGAGATGACAAGTGAGAGGGCGTGGGCACAAGGATGACCCAGTGAGAGAAAGCTTGGCTCTGAGGGACCAAGGGGTTCTGGAAGGAAGTGAAAAGCTCTTAAGAGCCAGCCGCTGCTTAACTGGACACCCCACAAGATGTCTGACCCTCGATGAAGCCAAATAAACCTCTTTTCTCTGAAATGCTGTCTGCCTGTTTCTGTCGGGGAGGGGAGAATTCCCCAGATGTCTCTGAGGAATGGAGGGAGGACAGGAATCAGAGAGGCCTGAGGGCCTCTGGGGACACACGGTGGGCTCACGGGGTGGTGCAGCCAGCCCGCTGCAGGGGAACCAGAGGATAAGGTGAGAAGCCAGAGGCAGGTCCAAGGTCTGGAGGGGCAGGAGTCAGGGGCCTCTTGAGGAATGAGGGTTACAGGAGGTTCCTAAGGAGCACTGACAACGCTAAAGAGTGTTCAGGATGATGGGGGAGGATCATGGGGCCCCCTGGAAGACATGGCCATGCCAAGGCCCCGAGAAATGGGACAACCTCCAAGGCTGGGGGCTAGAGAACACAAGAGGCATTTCAGGAGACCTGGTCACACACATGGGGGCTCTTAAGGGCAGTGCTATCTCCAGAAAACTGGAGGGAGCAGGGATTCTTTGGGGATACATGGCCACACACAGGGACTCTGAAGGGTGGGGGCTTCATGCAAAAGTTGGGGAGTCACATTCCCTTGGAAACCAAGACTGAAACCAGCCCCAGAGTTTCGGTGAGTCCCTGGTCAGAGTGAAAGGAGAAGCCCTGCCGTGCTGGAGTTCATGAATTCCCAGCATTACTTTCAGCCCCTGGGGCTGTCCCAGGCTTGGTCCTGCCATCCGCCCCCAGTTCTTGCAGAGCCTCAAGCTTTCCTTTCTCCAGCTCCTCTCGCCCCCCAGGGTCCCAAACACACATCTCAGGACCCAGCACAGTTTCCCCTGAGTTTTCTCTCCATGAAGGACTAAGCTTTGTAAAGCCACTCCCATTTCTAATTCTACCCCTACCTGAGTCCCATCTGGAAATCAGAAGGAACAGACCACAGAACTCACTCCAACCCCAAAGGAATGAAAACAGTGGGAGCTGGGGTGCAGAGGGGAAATGGGTCCAGCCCCCAGAGTCCCATATTCACAGCAGTAACTGGCCTATCGAAGCCCACTCAGAATCCGAGCAGGGGAGTGTAGGAAGTATCCTTGATGCCTGGGTGTCCCCAACTTTCCAAACCCCCGCCCCCGTGATGGAGAAGAAACCGAGACAGAAGGTGTAGGGCCCGCTACCGCTTCCTCCAGATGAGCTCATGGGTTTCTCCACCAAGGAAGTTTTCCGCTGGTTGAATGAGAGCCTTTCCCCGCCCTCTTCTCACCCCAGAGCGTATAAATGCAGCTGTTTGCACACCCAGCCAACAGAAGCTCCCAGAGCGGGGACACCAGGGGACCAGCCAAGAGAGAGACAAGCCGCTGCAGAGCCCCCTGGAGATAACCTCCCAGACCACACACCCCCGACAGACAGCCAGGCAACTCGCTCTCTCTCACACACCCTGCCACAAGGCTCTCCTGTCTCCCGTCTGGACTTGAACCCTTCTGAAAAAGACCATGAGCACCAAAAGCATGATCCGGGACGTGGAGCTGGCGGAGGAGGCGCTCTCCAAGAAAGCAGGGGGCCCCCAGGGCTCCAGAAGTTGCTTGTGCCTCAGCCTCTTCTCCTTCCTCCTGCTTGCAGGAGCCACCACGCTCTTCTGCCTGCTGCACTTCGGGGTAATCGGCCCCCAGAGGGAAGAGGTGAGTCTCTGGCCGGCCTTGGTTTATTCTCCCACCCAGAGAGAAATGAGAGAGAAAGAGGGCGAGAGATAGGGTGGGGAAAGAGGTGTGCTTATGGGGAAGGGTGGGGAGGAAAATAGTGGAGAAAGATGGGGAGGCAGGAGGAGACATGGAGAGAGATGGGAGGAAAAGAGAGACGGACGGAGAAATAAGACACCTGGCACAGGGGGGATGCCCTCTAAATATTTGTTGGACAAATGAGTAAGCAGGGATACAGACATAAAGAGAGATGTGTAGACAGATAAGGGGTGTGAGTAGAAAGATCGAGACTCAAAACAAGTGATCTGGATGAAGATGGTGAGACAGAAAAAGATACAGACAATATGAAAGAGAGATAAGGAAAGATGAAGCTAAGCGTGTCTGGCACGTGGAAGTAACTCAATGAAAGAGCTGTTAAATGGATGAATGAATGAAAAAAATGGATGAATGGAGAGAGAAGACAAGACCCATCAGGGCATAGAGTACCAGCTAGAGAAGCAGCCAGCAGTTTCTCCTTCAGGGGTGACTTGTTCTAACTCTCATCCTCCTTTTTCTCTCCAGCAGTCCCCAACTGGCCTCTCCATCAACAGCCCTCTGGTTCAGACCCTCAGTAAGTGTCTCCACAACCTCTCTTCTAATGCTGGACTTGGGTGGGTGGGGGTGGGTGGGGTTTAGACCTGGGACGGAAGCAGTAGGGGAAATTTAGGGTTTGGGATCGGGGGGAGAAGGAATGGAGGTCAAAGTATGGGATATTTTCTGGGAAGCTTAAGGGTCTCACCTTTTCCTTTCCTCTTTCCTCCTCAGGGTCATCTTCTCAAGCCTCAATTAACAAGCCGGTAGCCCACGTTGTAGGTAAGAGTTCTGAGGATGTCTCTGGGGCACGAAGAAGCAGACAGACAGGGAGGGGTAGGATTTGGGGGCTGAATCCAGACTGAGGGCAGACAGAGACAGTGTGAGAAGGATTCATGAGCTCAAGGGGGGTGGAGGATACTTAGAACTTGAGGGGGATACTCAGAACCTCACGGCCAGATGGGATGTGGGAACACAGAGGGGACAGGAACCGGATGTGGGGGGTGGGCAGAACTTGAGGGCCAGGATGTGGAGAGTAGAACTGACAGGGTCACACTGACTCACCCCTCCCCGTTCTTCTCCCTCCCTCCAGCCAACATCAATGCTCAGGGGCAGCTCCTGTGGTTGGATTCATGTGCCAATGCCCTCATGGCCAACGGTGTGAAGTTGGAAGACAACCAGCTGGTGGTGCCTACTGATGGGCTTTACCTAATCTACTCCCAGGTCCTCTTCAGGGGCCAATCCTGCCCTTCCACCCCCTTGTTCCTCACCCACACCATCAGCCGCATTGCAGTCTCCTACCAGACCAAGGTCAACATCCTCTCTGCCATCAAGAGCCCTTGCCACAGGGAGACCCCAGAGTGGGCTGAAGCCAAGCCCTGGTACGAACCCATTTACCAGGGAGGGGTCTTCCAGCTGGAGAAGGGAGATCGCCTCAGTGCTGAGATCAACCTGCCGGACTACCTGGACTATGCCGAGTCTGGACAGGTCTACTTTGGGATCATCGCTCTGTGAGGGCGCAGGACATCCATCCTCTCCCACCTCAGTTACCTTATTATTTAATCCTTCAGACCCTTCTCATCCCCTTCTGGTTTAGAAAGGGAATTGGGGGCTCAGGGCTGGGCTCCAAGCTTACAACTTTAAACAACAGCTGCACTTAGAAATTAGGGATGTAGGGAAGTGAGACCTGGACAACGGGGCACCAACCACCCTCAAAGACTGGAACTGGAACTTCCAGAACTCCCTGGGGTCCACAAGTTTGGGTTCCCGGATGCAACCTGGGACACCCAAAATGTGGGGGCCAGGGCTCTTACTGGGACCCTTCGCAACATTCCTTGAGAAGATCTCACCTAGAACTTGACATGAGTGGACTTCAACTTTCCCTTCCTGCCAATGTTCCCAGACTCCCCTGAGGTGGGAAGCCCAGACCCAACCCCACTGGGCCAACTCCCTCTGTTTATGTTTGCACTTGTGATTATTGATTATTTATTATTTATTTATTATTTATTTATTTACTAATGAATGTATTTATTCGGGAGGTCAAGGTGTCCTGGGAGACACAAAGTAAGGGCTGCCTTGGCTCAGATGTGTTTTCTGTGAAAACGGAGCTGAACTGCAGGTTGCTCCCACCATGCCTCCTGGCCTTTGTGCCTCCTTTTGCTTATGTTTTTTAAAAAATATTTATCTGATCGAGTTGTCTAAATGATGCTGATTTGGTGACTGATTCGTCGCTATATCACCGAACCTCCGCTCCCCAGGGGAGTTATGCCTGTAACCGCCCTACTGGTCAGTGGCGAGAAATAAAGTGTTCTGAGAAAAGAAACATGCTTCTATCTGGAAATTAATTCTGCATGGGCCTCTTCTTGGGGGTGAGAGGCTGCTAACCAAAGTTCTTCTCCATAGGGCTTAAGATCCCTGGACCTCACTCCTTGAACTTCTGGGGCTCAAGAGATCCTACCTAAGACAAAGCCCAGCTGAATATGCACCTACCCCAAGAAAGGAACTTGAACTTAATTACCTCTCCCTGAGGGCATGGGAATTTCCAACTCTGGGAATTCCTATCCAGGTGGGGCAAATCCTGTTCAGGTGAGATTTCCGGCTGTTGTGGCCTGAGAGAAAGAGCCAGGGAGTGGCCAGATTCTCAGGCACCTGAATCACAGCCAGGGGACTTTCAGACAGTTAATTGGGCAACTGAGCTCTTGAATCGCCTGCCCCCGGCCCTCCCCCTTCCAATCCAGTCCTAACTGTGCAACTGAACTGGACCTCGGTCTACCAAAGGTTCAGTATCAGTCACCGAACCTCATCTATCAAAGAGAAGTAGGGACCCCCACCACACATGGGGCCACATGAGAAACATGAACAAAAGACCTAAACTACACCAGAGCACCTCACGGAGGGCTCTGTGCATTCTGGCTTTCTCCCTTTTTCCAGGCCCCAATCTTCTACCCACTTCCATCTCTCAGTGGATGGAAGTGAAGAGGAGGAAGAAGATTAAAAAACAAAGAAAGAAAAACAAACAAACAATAAGATGTAGGTGAAGGACCACCCTGCTCCCCACCCCCCCATGCCAGCTTGGTCTCCCTGATTTTTGGTGAATGATGAGAGGGACGTGAGGTAGGTGAAGTGGAAAGAGAAATGCATTCTGCCCCTCCAGGAAGCCTCTTCCGGACACAGAGTCAAAGACAAATATGGAGTCAGAAATAAAGACTCAGAGAGTGGGACCCCTGGCTGGGCTTTCCTTCTTGCTAGGGTTGCCAGGCAAGGGGAAAAACCATGCGGTGTGCCGCAGAGGTGGGGTGACCCACTGGGGTAACCTAGATAGAGCCCTGGCTCCTCCTCCATCTCCTCCAGCCCCAGGCTGAAAGTCAGTCGTGGAGTGAGGGGGCTGCTCACCCTGAGGCCCCCACACTTGCCCACTTATGGACAAGTGTGAATTCACACTTATGAAAGTGTGAATGAGTGGGGAGGCTGTGCCATCCCTCCTTGACCAGGTGGCATCAGTTTTTCTTCCTCCCCCTCCTCTCCAGGTTCTCCCTGGTGTCCTCAGGCACTAAACCCCCCCACCCCCGACCCCAACCCCCGCCCCCCGCATCTCCCTTTTTCAATCACCCTCCCAACTCTCGCCTTCAGCCCCCTCCCTTTACCCCACTCTTCACACACACACACACACACACACACACACATACACACACACACACACACACACCCCACCATTCCACCACCCCACCCCCCAGCTGTGGCTCTTGACTGTGGCTAATGGGGCAGCTAGCAGAGAATAAGTGCTGATCTGCTCAGGGCTTCACTATCAGCCCTATTCAGGTTTACTCTGCTGACTGCGCCATTCTGAGTGGTGCTTGCCTTCCCCTGCAATGATCCCCACCCCCCACTACTGGGATGGACCCAAGAGAGAAGAGTGCAGTGCTGAGTCTGGGGGGACCGTGTGGCCTTGAGAATCAGGGTGCTGGGAGATGCTTTGGCATTTGTGGAGGGCCCTTTCCTTCTTACTCTCCAGATGGGCTAATGTCGGGGAAAATTCATCCAGAGGCAAGGGTGGGTGGAACCCACAGATCCCCCACCCCAGGGAACAGAGGCCATGCCAAGTGCTATGAATTGTTTCAAGCAACCAGAAAAATACCGAGAATATTTAACCCACACTTGTGTATCTACCCTGAATGAAGACACCTTAGCATCTCAGCATCTGTATTGGCAGCATTAAAGTTTACATTCTTTATTTTCATCGGTCTCAAAAATCAGTTTCCAAACAGTCATCTACATTTTCCACATAGCCATGGGGTCCCTGGTGTCTGGGTCCCCAGTAATTGGGCTGATTCATTCACATACTCTCATCAGGCAGTAGTTGTTTTTAGGGATGCAGATAGCCTTCACCCCACCATCACCGCCCCGAAGAAGGTCTTTCCCCTCCTGTAGTCCACCATGTCGGGGTGACTGATATTGACGTACACCCTCTCGCCCCTCCGGAGCTGCACCAGGCCACCGAACCCCACGCTCGTGTACCAGAGGGGCCCATATTCGTGCCTCCTGGCGGGGTCCGAGACAGGTGTCACGGTCTCCGCACCCTCCAGCAGCAGCTCGGGGGTCCCCGATCCATAGGCGCCCCCCGCCCGGTACAGCCGGCTGAGCAGCGTGACCGAGCGGTCCAGGGGGTCCACGCCGGGAGGGGGCGCCCGACCCCGGTAGCCGACGTGACAGTAAAGGTAATAGAGGCCGTCCTGCGGGAGGGCCAGCCCTTCTGCGCCCGAGAACCGCGTCCCGCTCCTCAGAAACGCCTCTTCTTTCTTCGCCTCCCAGCCTAGCCCCTGCCCCGTGGTCCAAGCGCCTGCAGAGAAACGGGCCCATCGGCTCTCTAGGAAATCAGATCCTGAAAGGAGTGATCCAGGCCGGAGGCTTCTGGGAGGGTGGGCATGGGGGACACTGGGGGCTTTTAACCCCCTGCAGGAGCCAGCTGGGTGGGGGAGCGGGCTGATGGCCCTCCCCTGTAATGAGTACGAGTTGGGACTGACGGCATCTGGGTGTGCGGTGCGGAGTGCTGAGGTGGGCAGATCCAGGCCGGGTTTTCCCTCCTCCCGGGAGTGGGGCGGGGACGCAAGAGGCTAGAACGCTGGTGGAGCCGAAGGGTGGGCAAGATAGCTGCGGTCAAGTGGGTGGGCAAAGGAGCACCGCAGTGACAGAGCAAAGGGACTCTAACCGTGGGTGAGCAGAACTGGCACCCCTGGACCCTTCAGGTCCGTGAGGTCCTTACCAATGAGATGGGGTCCTTATCAATGAGATGGGATCCTTACCAATGAGATGGGGATCCTTACCAATGAGATGGGCAGCTGGGAGCCTAGGGCTGAGATCAGTTTCTGAGTCCTCCTCAGGCAGCTCCCCGGACTCTGGAAGGGGTAGGAAGAGTCCACGGTTGGGGGCAGGGCGGCCACCCACGCATGGCCCCCCCCAGAGGACAAGGTGCCAGGGCTCAGGGATGGGGCATCTGGATTCCTGGAGGAAGAGAGTATCTGGGGATGCAGATGGTTGGGAGCTGGGAGACCCTGAGGGGCAGAGCCAGGGAGGGAGGGTAAAATGGTGGGCTCTTACCAAATCGCTGATGGGCAGGTGCCTGGACGCCGGGGTCAGCCGTCCCTGTTACCTGAGTGGGTGGGGTCACAGCGCCCAGAGTTCCCTCTTAACTGATGCCAACCACCAGCGCTCCCATTCCCAGCATAGGGGTTTCTCCCACCAGCCCCAGCCTCCACACACACCTCCCTGGAATGGAGAGCAAGCGAGGTGGCTGTACTTGAGCAGAGAGACAGAGGCCTTAGTATGTCTTGGGAGGAGGAGAAGAGACATACAGATGACCAGGAAGGGGCTTGGTGACATCGGGACACGACAGCATCACATGAACATGAAAAGAGGACCAGCAAAGAGACAGACAAGACATCCCCACACTGGGGACAGCCAAGCCAGCTGAGCAGGATAAGGCAAGGGGCATAGCCAGAGGTGAGTGAGCATTGGCAATAGCTGGCCCGTGGAGGGTTTACTGTAGCCACTCACCAATCCTTCCTGCTCCTGGGGCACCAAGGCCAGCACAGCCACAACAGTGATGGGCACGGCCAGCAGGAGGGTCACCAGGGAAGTGACTCCTGCCACAGCCAGCAGCAGGCATCCTTTCCGCTGGGGCCTCCTACCCCGGCCCTCCAGCCCCCGTTCCCCCATGGAGTCTGAGCTAGGGCCAGGGCAGGGGGGCTTTCATACCTCAGGGGTGGGGCCACACTCTCCCCAAAGACCCATACACCTGGCTGGGACTTTCCGCACACCCCTGCTCCCCTGACCCTGCTTCCTGTTTACCCAGAGCTAGGGTGAGGCAGCTGGATGCCTGGGTTCTCTGAACTGGGGAAGGAGTCAGAGGTGAAGAGACAGGTTTTCAGGGTAGAGCCGGAGGGGGACTGAGAGATCTTCTGACTCAGTGGGAAGGAAAACTGACTGAGGCCCTGGGAGGGAAGCTAGCTTGCTGTAAGTCGGGCAGCTACAGTGAGAACACACAGATTGCTCCAGATTGCCAGTGGGGTCTGCAATCTTCTGTACCCCAGAGGTGGGTGCTGAGGGGAAGGCTGCATCCACACCCCTGAGACCAAGGGCTGGAACAGGAGGACGAGAACTGGAGTCTTCAGGGATGGGTGTCTGGGTCCCTAAGAAGAACTTGTCCCCATGCTCAACTGACCTCCTTTTCCCATTCCCTTGTTCCCTCCAACCCCCCAGACCTGGGTGAGAAAGACAGAGCTAAGCCAGTCCATGGTAATGGCAGCTGAAGAGGTCCTCAGCCTCATCACTGACTGTTAACTCACTGATGAGGGATGGAAATAGAGCATCACTTTCCTTGTTACGCAGAGTGTAGACAGGAGTGCAATGAGCACCCACCCACAAAGAGCTTTGCAGTCTAGAATGAGCCCCAAGCTGACTAAGTGTTAAGTGAAGAAAGGACAGAAGATTGAATGAGTAAGCAAAAGAAAGCAGTAAGGACAAAATGAATGGTATAGGAGGCAGAGCAGTAGGAGATGAAGGGAAGAAAGACCAGGTCAAGGGAGTTGGAAATGGTCCCAGATCATTTCCCTTTCTTGATACCTCTGTGGGTTCAGTTCTGTTCAGTTCAGTCGCTCAGTCATGTCCGACTCTTTGCAACCCTGTGGACTGCAGCATGCCAGGCTTCCCTGTCTATCACCAACTTCTGGAGCTTGCTCAAACTCATGTCCATTGAGTTGGTGATGCCATCCAACCATTTCATCTTCTGTCGTCTCCTTCTCCTTCTGCCTTCAATCTTTCCCAGCATTAGGGTCTTTTCCAATGAGTCGGTTCTTCACATCAGGTGGCCAAATTATTGGAGTTTCAGCTTCAGCATCAGTCTTTTCATTTCCTTTAGGATGGACTGGCTGGATCTCCTTGCAGTCCAAGGGACTCTCAAAAGTCTTCTCCAACCACAGTTCAAAAGCATCAGTCCTTTGGCACTCAGCTTTCTTTATGGTCCAACTCTCACATCCATACATGACTACTGGAAAAACCATAGCTTTGACTAGACGGATCTTTGTTGGCAAAGAATATATATATATATATAAAAACAGCATTTGGTGTGTGCCTGCCACTGATCTACACATTTTATATATAATAATGCTTTTTTGTGGGGAGCCACAATGTACAACATGCAGGATCCTAGTTCCCCAACCAGAGATGGAACCCATGCACCCTGCAGTGGAAGCACAAATTCTTAACCACTAGACTGCTAGGGAAGTCCTATATAATAATGCTTTTAATCCTGATAAAAACTCTAAGAGGAAACTGAGGCACAGGGAGGTTAAAGAACTTCTGTAAGGTCACACAGGAGTGGCAGAGTCAGGATTTGAACCCAGGTAGTCTGGCTCTATAACCTTAACCACAAGACAGTTTAAGAACTGAGTGCTGAGTTCAGATTTGTCCATTTCAGGGTATGTAAATCTTGCCTTCCTCACCAACCCCCTAAAAAAGAAATGGGGAAACAAATACTGAATTCAAGTCAATGATAAGCATGGTAAAGGGTTAGAGGTAAAATGTACTGATGTCTGCAACTTTGAAAAACATCAAAAAATGAGATGGATTGATAGATATGTGATAGAGCAAATGTATGGAAGAATATTAATTGTAGAATCTAGATGGTAGGAATAAGTTCATTGTATAATTCCTTCAAATTTTTTCTGTTTGAACATTTTAATAATAAAACATTAAAAAAAATATTGTCCTACTGTCCTGCATGGGGACCACTGTGGATGGTGGAAGGGAAAGAAGTAGCAGAAAGTTTCTGAATTTGGAGAAGGAAATGCAAATGCTTATGGGCCCAGGCACCAGATCTTCTCTCCAGTCCCTGTTTCCATGTGAGCTCCCCAGTCTTCACCTTCCTCAAGGACTAGGTGTGCCATCCGCCAGCATCCATCTCCCTCTCCTTCATCCAGGTCTCTATCCAGAAGGCCTTCGACTACTGCCCTTACTTATGTGCTCAACATCAGAATGCTGCTCCCTGCAGGAAATCCACCTGGGTTGCCTGCACCTCCTTCCCCAACACCACCTTGTCATCAACTTTCTGTCTTAGATCTATCAGCAGTGCTCATGTAGATCAAGTCTGGCTGTCTCTGACTCTCCTGTTGTTCGTCAGTCAATCAAGTGCCCTGTTAGATACAGCTCCAGAATATCAGGAGAGTTACCCAAACCCACCAGCCCTCCTAGTTTGTCTTGGCAGCTGGGGGCGTATGTCCACACATACCAGGATCATGGCTCTCAGGGACCCAGTATAATTAGGGAAAATGAATCTGGGCAGGCATCTAGAGGGTACATGATCACTGACGATTGCAGAATCAACAGGATGGCTGGGGTGGAAGGAGATGACAGGCTGAGTTACAGTCCTCGGAGTCTGAAAGGAAAAGACGTTGTAACCCCAACCCTCAGAGCCTAACTTCCTCTCCTGATCATGCTGGGAGGCACCCAGGCTGGGGGAGAAGTTAAACCAGCGGAGGGGCAGGAATATCTGAGGTGGCAACACCACTCCAAGGCAGCTCCGGCCATGCAGTCCGTTCACCCGCAGACCACAGGCTCTGGGTAAGCTGGGACCCTCAGGGAGGAAATCCAGGGAGAGGGCAGTCATACCCCAGAGTGAGGTGAGTCTAAGATAAGGGAAGGGAAAATATAGTTTTGAGGTTCCCCGGGCCCTGGAGGACCTCTCTGTCCAGCCTCTGTCTTTGCTCCCCAAAGAAGTATAAACCATCCTCTTCCACCCCTACTTCCCAGCATGGCCACCTCAGGCCCTCCTCTCCACCTGTGCTTCTGCTTCCCACCCCTACAAATCCCAGGAATCCTCTGGAAACCCGGTTGGTTTCAGTTTCCACACACTGGTCAGTGCATCTGGCTCTGGGTGAAGTCAGCAGCCCCCTCTTTGCCCTCAAACAGGAACCAGTGGTTGTAGGACAGGAAGTGTCTTAGGGGAAGTTATGGGCCCCAGACACTTCTCCATGCCCCACTTTAGCCCCAGCAATATCTGCTCAAGGGAAGCGGCTCTCCACACCAGCCAAGGAGGGGCCCCCCTTTTCCTGAGTTGCTCTGCCAGGTGGTGCTGGACACCGCCCTCCCTATTTTCCTGCCAGGCCTCGGCTCCTCCCTCAGCCCCCTCATCAGAACCTAGAGCTACCTGGTGCTGGAAAGGCTGCTATGAACCAGCTCGTCAGCTTAGGGTAGGGGAAAGGTGGTAGGCTCTGGAGCTGGACAGACCTGGCCTTGAACCCCAACTCTGCCTCTTCTGGGCTGGATGTCCTTGTCAGGATCCAGCCTTGAGTCTCAGGTCCTTCACCAGGGAAATGGGCACCATAGTACCCTACATTGTTATGCGGATTAGCAGTGACAAACAGAAAGTGCCCCGTTCAGGGTTAATACAGAGCTAAGGCTCCTCAGCCTGGGAAACTATTGTAACAGAGACACCGGAGTTTACGTATGAGGAACTTGGGGCACGTGATTCACCCCAGGCCATTTAGCCTGGAAGAGCTGTGCTAGGTTTCCCAGTGTACAGGTCAGTCTTCAGTCCTGAAAGCATGGGGAATACGGTAAGGTAGCCCTCTGCGCAGGGAGGGTGGTTGTGCACAGGGAACAGTGGGTGAAAAGTGGTGTGTGCGGTTCTGGGTAGGTGGTCAGGGCCTCTTGGGACCAACCAGTGCTGGGGAACAAGAGACTTCATGGGGAGGCCCAGAGATGACAAGGGTGGCAGTGGTGAGCTCCTGAAGGGTGAATGGTCTTGGGAACGAGTGAGGGAACTGGTGAGGGATGGCCACCTATGGTAAGAAGTGAGTCAACACAGTCTGGGGTGAAGAATCTCTGAGAGAATGTTTTTTTGTCTCTAAAACTGTTAGAGGGAGAAACTGAGATTCACAACAGACGAGGGGGGTGGGGTGAAATGAAGCAAAAAAAGGTCCCTCTAATATTTACCCCTTTTCCCTACAGCAATGCCTTTGTGAAAAATTGGATTTTTACCAATATGGGGGTTTAGGGCTGGGGGCGCTCCTGCTCCTGCTTGTGGCCGTTCTGTCCATCTGCCTGTATCGGCTCTACAGGAGAGGTGAGCCCCAACCGCCCCTCCCTCATCTCCCCTCATCAACCCTGACTCACCCTGCCTGTGTGAGGAAGGGGGCAGAAGTCAGATGGAGCGGGCGGAGAGAGTCCAAAGAGAGAGGCCATGGCTTTGGCCGTGGGAACCCCAGGGAGGGTGGCAAGTGAGGAGACACCTTGTGGGTGTGGAGAGAGTGAGTGAGGAGGGCAGGGAGGTGGCACCAGGGACATGGGGGCAGGTCCAAGCTGAGCTTCTTCTTTTCTTCCAGTGAAGAGGCTGGAGAGAAGCTGGGTGAGTCTGGGGGCAGGGAAGTGGGTGATGGGGCAACAAGAGGGGGTGGAGTTGCGGAAGCAAGAGAAAAGACAGAAACAGGAGCATGAGGGAGACAAGAAATAAGAGAGAAACAGAAAGACGGAAATAAGGGATGAGAAAAAGAGAGGAAAGTAAATGTGTAGAGATGGAAAGAGGAAATAAAGGAGAGAGAGGGGGAAGAAATGAGAGACATTGGAGACAGAGTGAGAGAGAGAAATCAGAGAATGAGAGACACAAGGAAAATGAGAGAAACCAAGAGAAAAAGGAAGAGAAGGAGATTAAGAGTGATGAAGGAGGAGAAAATGAGAGAATGAGAGAGACACGAAGAGAAAAGGACAAGATAGACTGAAAGAGAGATGAAGAGAGAGCTATAGATGGAGCACAAAGAGAGGCAATGAGGTGGAAAAAAAAAAAACAAACCAAACAGTGGCAGTGGGGGCAGGGCAAGAACTTAGGGAGGGGGGTGGCCAGGGTAGGGAGGCTCCTAGGGACCCCGTCAGTGCCCTCTGTCCGGGCCCCAGGTCCAAGCCTCAAAAGAGGAGCTCCACTATGCGTCCTTGCTGAGGCTGCCTGAACGGGAGGGACCTGACATCCGAGAAAGGGAAGGCAACAAGGAGGACCCCAGCGGGGACTATGCCTGCATTGCCAAGAACAAACCCACCTGAATACCTGCAGATGCCTCCCCCAACCCAGGGCCATCCTGTGGTTCACCCAGTAAAGACCATGGTCTCACCACCCTCTGTGTCTCAGGCTTCTTCATCTATTTCAAGCCCCAGCTCCACAGGGCCAAGATCAAAACCTAAATTACTGGGACTTCCCTTGCTGTCCAGTGCTTAAGGCTCTGGACACTTCCACTGCAGGGAGCACAAGTTCGATCCCTGGTCGGGGAACTAAGATCCCGCCTACTGAGTGGCCAAAAATAATAATAAAGTGGCCTTTCTTAAATACAAAAACAGACTCCTAAGCGATTTACCCTCCCACTCATTCTGGGGTCAGGTAGGGGGATTCACTGAGTGAGGAAGGGTGTTTGGGGACCCAAGCTCCCCTGAAGCTCAGAGAAGAGTATTTGCCTGTGGGCCATTGACAAGCAGGACTAGTCATGTCAGATACTCCACTCTTCTCAAGACAAAGGGCCTTAGCCTCTTGGGCAGGAGAGAGAGGAGTGCTGAGTCCCAGGATGGTGGTGGGAGGGGGAAGGATTGCTAGGAAGCTCCCTCCTTGGACCCTTCCAGGCCAGATTTAGTAGCAGGAGGTAAGAGTTGGGAGAATCCAGAACGGGACACATTGGAGCATCTGGAGATGGAGCAAGAAATACACAAGACTCATAAGAAGGATGACGGTGTGGTAGAGAGGAATTTATTAGAGTCTCTTGAAGAACTTGGGATCACTGGGGTCTGGAATAACTCATCAGAGGCCATCCAAGGAGTGACAGGGTGTTTCCTTGTGACGGTGGTCTGGAGGAGAGGCCACAGGAATCGCTCAGTGCTGCAGCCCTCCTCCTCTTTCATGGTCTCTATCTCTGCCGGTTCCAGCCTTCTCACTTGCCCTCCCATCTCCACGCCCGTGTGTCCCAGCTCCAACACTCACATTTGCCCTGGTAATACATGCTGCTGCCCATAGCCACCGAGAGAAAGCTGAAGGCATAGAATCCAGCCCGAAGGAGGAGGACTGTGCCAGCCGCTAGCTGAGGAGGTCCTGCATGTAGGAGGCAGGGTGCAAGGAAGAAGAGAAGGGCTCAGGAGAGGAGGCCCTGGGTAGAAGTGTGCAGAGGCCAGGGAGGGCAGCAGGCCTCGGGGAGGGACTCTCCACTATCAGGGAGGGTGGGGCCTCCAGTCAAGGGGACAGGGCTTTCTGGCACCTCACCTTCCTCCACCACCAGCAGGGTCCCATTCCCTGTGCCGATACCCAGGCCCAGCACCTCCACCCTGCACACGTAGACTCCGGCGTCACGGCCTCGGGTGTCTCGGATGTGCAGCTCAGCCTGGTGGTCATAAAGGAAGCGGGAAGAGGGGAGAGGGGCCAGGCGGCCCTGGAACTCTGCAGTCTCATTCCTCACTTCCATCCCTGGGGCCACTTTGTCCCGGTACCATGTGACAGAACCAATGGCCATACTCCCTTGGCTGGCATTGAAGGAACAGGGCAGGATGGCGGGGGACCCCTCCTGGGTACGGATTTCAGGGGGCTGAGACACCCAGAGGACACAAGATCCTGGGGGCAGAGAGAAGACCCAGAGGAGCGCCTTCCCAGTTACTCCAGAGAGAAAAGACCTGAGAACTTGTGGTAGAATGTCCCTGCTATATCCCCACCCCCAGAGGGCCCCCAGGGACAAGCACTTTAGCTGTCTCATTAAACCCTTTATACCAATCTAGTTTCTTAACATTGCTTATTAAACAGTTTTTCAAATTCTTTCTCACACCAACTCTTACCCTCTCCCATCATTCTCTAGCTCTGTCCAATAGTATCATTTTGCTGAAATTTAACTTGTCACAATTAAAGTGAAGCTCATTAATGAGTGTGGCTGCCTAGTTAACTAATATCATTAATTATATTATGCCAGGTACTATTTTAGTACTAATAGCATTCTGCACCATACCATCTTACTGTTTTTTTTGTTAAAGATCATTAAGTAAATCTCCAGGTGAAGCCATGGCTATAATTGATGGGGATCCCTACCAAATTCATCTAAATCAATGAATTACATCAACTATTAAAATTCTTGATTAAATTCTCTAGTTAATGAAATTTACCACTCATTCTTCTGTTTCAGTGATTCTCAAGCTTGAGAGCTCACTGGAAACATCTGGAGTGTTTGTTAAACCAGATTCCCAGGCCCCACTCCCGGGATATTTTATTCCGTAGTTCAAAATATTTGAATTTGCCCTAGGTCTCTGCTGATGCTGAAGCTGTGGGTCTGGAATCCACACTGCATTTAGTTAATGAGTAGATTGGGTAATTAAAATCAGTTTCATTAAGAAACTTAACTTAAATTTAATTAAATTCCTAAACTCCTAATTATATCTAAACCCTAGATAATAAGCCTAGTTTAATAAGCTTATTCAACTCATCGAACTTAAACTGACCCCTTAAAAAAATCTGACCCCTTCCTTCAAGCCCTTTCTACTGCTTATTTAGACTTTATCTTGTTAGGAAGGTGGCTGGGAAGAAAAAGGCTTCCCTGGTGGGTCAGTTAAAAATCCACCTGCAATGTGGGAGACTCATGTTCAATCCTCAGGTCGGGAAGATCCCCTGAAGAAGGGAATGGCAACTCTCTCCAGTATTCTTGCCTGGAGAATCCCATGGACAGAGGAGCCTGGAGGGCTGCAGTCCATGGGGTCATGCAAAGAGTGGAACTCAGCTGAGTGACTAACTTTCACTGGGAAGAAAAGAGTTCTGGTATGGAAGCTGGGGAATGACCCACCCAGCGGCTGATACGGAGGGAACTGCAAACTGGAGGAGTCCACTGGGTTTCAGCTTTACAGAGGGACCCCCTGCTTTCAGCCCCCACCCAGTCTGCTCCCCTGGGACATCTATGTCCATCTTCCCCCATCCTCCCTCCTCCCAGCCCCTCAGGCTCCTGGGAGAAAGCCCTGTCACCTGGATGGATGGTGATAAAGATGAACAACAGCAACCGGGCCATGTCGGAGGGTGTTCCTGTTGATGAGGAGGGACGTGAGCAGTGAGGTCTGGGTGGAGGAAAATGACCCACTACTTGTGACCAGGCCTTTGGTCACTGGAGGGGGGTGGGGAGCTTCCTATGACACACAGGACTCACCCATCACTTACCAAGGACCTTAACTCCCTGGGACCTCGGGCATCAAACGCATCCCTCCCTGAGGAAAGAGGATGCTGCGGACGGTGATATCTGCGTTGCTAGGAGGAGGGGGGTAGAGTGGGGGCCAGTTGCATAAGTGTTTGAGGGGAAGGGTGTGGCTTAGATGGCTGGTAATGCTTAGGTGGGTGGGTGGACGGGTGAGATCAGGATGTGGTTCCCCCATCTTCTGAGGTTCAAGAAAACTAACCCTTTACCAAGAATAAGCCTCCAAGAGCTTTTCTGAGCCCAGAGCTAACCCACTTCCCCTCCCCTTGGCTCAACAGCACCCAGGTCCACCCCATTCATTCCCTCCCCTCGAGTTAGGGCCCTATTAGGGCCCTCCGCCAGGGTTGCTCAAGAAATTCTGTAAATGAGAGGATTAGCAGAAGTCAGCTGACTGGTGCCGGCGGCAGCGAGTTACCAGGGGCTTTGTCTGGAAGCTGTATTTGCACAGCAATCACCCTGTTTTGGTGGTAGCTCAGA